TTATTATTATCAATATTATTACGCTTATTACTACTTTTATCATCATTATCCTTATTATTCTCAGTATTATCAATATTATTACGCTTATTATTAATTTTATGATCATTATCCTTATTAGTTATATTATTATCAATACTATTACGCATATTACTACTTTTATCATTATTATCCTTATTATTCTTATTATTATCAATATTTCTACGCATATTACGACTTTTATCATCATTATCCTTATTACTCTTATTATTATCAGTATTATTATGCATATTACTACTTTAATCATCGCTGGAACTGTAATTATCCTTACTCTATCATCATTATCCTTATTATTTATATTATTATCAATATTTTTAAGCTTATTACTACTTTTTATGTACCGGCTAGGTACGGCATTGGCAGCAAGCTGTGGCGTCGCTGACGCATGCACATGAAGTTCTCGCGTGAGATAAAATCTCACGACTGCCCAACACTGCTCTTGTACTGTATTTACTGTACATCCGAGAGCAAATATGTTTTTCTTTGTGGTTTCTTACATTGAAGCTTGGGGAGCCACCGTCCACGTGTGACTATGCTTGATACATAGTAATATTATTTTTACCAGTTTCAAAATAAACCAGTTTGCTTTTATGAATAAGTATTTGCTCGGTAAATATTTGTTATTTGTTGATTTTAAAAATGTTTCCTGTGAATTAGGCAGTGTTATGGCTAGTGATAGAGGACCATTTCTCCTTCGCTACCATTTTTCCCAGATAAACTAGATTTGCTGCAAGATGTACATATGCTATTCACATCATCGATCATATACAAGGTGGATAAAATATGCGAATAACGAGAAGAAAGCGATATATAAATTGCCTTCAGTTTCAAAAACCGGAACTTCAGAATTGGGTGGAAGAAGTTCAGGCTCAATACTTCGATATGATTGAAGTTATTTAAAAATTTAGATCGAAATTTTTTAACTTTGAAAGGTAATGGGTTACCAACAAGTGGTAATCATACAAAATAAAAGATCACTGAGTATACATGAATGTTGCTCTGGGTTACAAGTGACTGAATCTAAACAGAGCAAACATGCGCAGAGTAAACAAAATATCGAATCTTCAGCATAATCTTCAATAGAGTGAGTAATAGGTTAAGATAAATCGCGATAAAGTTTGTTTTGAAAAATGTAATGTTTTTAATAAAATATCTTTGCAATAAGTATAAAATTAAAGATACAAGGACATAGCAAGTATTAATATTTGTGTTTCAAAAGTTTATGTACGTGTACTACATGACTTGTACAACATCTAAAAAAGTTTCTCTATTACAAACAAAAGATCTTGTCATTTATAACAGTCTGTGTAATAATTGGTTTTAATTATAGAAACGGAATTTATTTTGCATAATACAGAAAATTATATTTTCGTTTCTGTAATAAACAAACATTTGTTTTATTTCTTACTTGTTTAATGTTTACATAAGTAATTTAGAATTAACATTAAATGTTACAATTGGTTACAGGTTCCATATTTTTATTATAAGTATTACATAGTAGTTAAAACAAATATTACATAATGGATACATTTCCACTGAAAAAGGTAGAATTACAAACTGATGTGTATATGACATGCTTGCAACATGCCTTATCAACGGAAAAATTTGAAGTAATGGGTCTGTTAATTGGGGATGTATGTTTGTGTTTTTACTATACATTACAATTTTATATATTTTCATGCATTAAAAAAATCTATCGTGTTTTATTATAATTTATATTAGACAGCAAATGGCGTTGCAAAAATCACAGCAATGATTATTTTGAGACGTTTGGATAAGAAGAAGGACAGGGTAGAAATTTCACCCGTACAATTAATGAAAGCTGTTACAGAAGCAGATCACCTAACAGAACAATTAAAACGTCCTGTACGTGTACTTGGATGGTATCATTCACATCCACATATTACAGTTTGTCCATCGCGTGTTGGTAAATTTAGATTGATAACATTACCAATGCTCAAAAAACAGATTATAAATAACATTTGAGTAAAAGAAATATATTTTCAGATGTTAGGACACAGGCAACCTACCAGATGATGGATAATGCCTTTGTGGGTTTAATATTTTCAGTATTTTCAGAAAGTAAAGAAACTAAGGTAAAGGGTAAATGAATATTATCAATTACTGTTTTAAATAAATAAACAAAATTGTATTTTTATAGGAGCAAGAAATTGCTTTAACTTGTTTTCAATCTCATAATGGAGAAGCAACAGAAATTCCACTAGAAATTGTGTACACTCCAATGATATCGAATATATGTTTAAAAGTAAGATCTTGAGAAATGAATATATATTAAGCTTCATATGTGACTTAAAGTTTAACCATAAACACTTAATATCTTTAGACTATGACAGATTTGTTAAAAATTTTGGTACAAGAAGAAGAAGAAATGGCAGAAACATATCAAAACTATGAGGATATCCTTGCCAGTATACACAATACTGCTGGTTAGTCTATTATATTAATATTAATCAGTTTTAATTACCATGAACAGAAAATAACTTCAGCTACTAATTCCAGTGAGAACGCGGTCATTGGTTCACATAACAGACATAATTACCAAGCCTTTGGTATTAATGTTTGAGAAAAGGATAGCTTTAAATAAATTACGTGCTGCTCACCTTCGAAGACAATTACAAGAATTACAAAAAGTATGCAATGGATAAAAACTTCTGATACCGTAAAAAATAATGTTTCTCCTTTTCCTCATGTATTCTAATCTATCTTAAATTCGATATTTCGTTATTTTATAATATAAATTTTCACTCATATTTTGTATTATTTATTCCCATGCAAGATAAAAGCAAGTTCTATATGCAAAACTAAAAAGTTACTCAATTGTTCATAAAATTTCTTTTATTGTTAATTTTAATAATTTTTGTTAACTGAATGAAAAAAAAGACAAACGACCTTTCAGTGATTATTTTTATTTTACCTTTCACGAACAAAGATCTGGCAATACTTGCACAGCTCTATATTTACACTACGAGAACAACAGTGTATTTAAATAGACTTAAATTTATTCAAAACACGGATTCTGCAGAACGAGAAAGATGTATAGGATGAGAAGGACTACGTGCTAACCTTTTGCGAGGCAGCTTTTCCAGAGTAGTTAATAATTTTGCAAAGTCGGGCCGATTTTCTGCATGGAATGACCAGCAAAGCATCAAAATATCCTATGAACATATAAATAGAGTGCAACAATTTTCAAATTACAAATATTTAAACATTACTGACAAAATATAAGTATAATTTTTGTATACCTTTACATCACGAGAAGCTTGTAAGTTAGCTAAAGTTTGTTTCATTCCTTTGCCAACTTGCCAAATAATTGCTTCAGGAGGTTGTCCTTTAAATGGCCATTCACCGCACAAAAGTTCGTACCATACAGTGCTGTAATAAAATGTTATTTTTCATTGCAAATATATAAATAATTACCGACATATAAATAATAACTTGTTACCAACCCAAATGCATAAACATCGGAAGCTTCTGTAAAAGGTAATTCTTCCTGATCCCGATTTTGTTGTGGTTTCAGTCGACGTACAATTTCAGGAGCTAAATAACATAACCAGCCAGGTGGAATACTCAGTGCATTACCTGTTCTGTTTAAAATAAAAAGTAATGAATACAAAAATATACATACAATGTTTTGCAGTGTTTATTGTTTCAGATATAAAACTTACCTATTCCCATAACAAAGCTTCGTAACACTAAACAAACCGAAATCAGTTATTACAACTTTTCCATTTTCTAAAAATATGTTTTTACTTTTGAGATCTTTATGAATTATACCACGAGCATGAAGATATCCCATTCCCTGAAAAAATGTATACGCGTTGAAACAAAATTTGTATACAAAATAACTTTTGTAACATAGTTTTGATACAATATACCTGAGAAATCTGTTGAGCGATGATAGTGGTTTTGTTCATATTAAATTTATCTTTACGCAAATGAATATGAGTGTAAAGAGTCATGCCTTTGCTCATACTAGTCACTATCGCCAAGCGAGGAGGTTTCATACAAGCTCCCATAAATAAAACTAGATTTTCGTGTCTCGTTTTTCGGAATGTAGCCACCTATAAATATCGACATAATTTTTATTTATATTATTCGTCAATTTGTTCACGCTATGGTTACGTTACTTTAAAATACATAAATGGATAAATTATCAAAAGCGTTCGTATGATCAGAGCCGCCGCTAGAGTTTGCGGGACCTGAGTAAAAAATTTTCGACGTTATTGGACGCTGCATTAGATCAGTAAAGGGCATCGATGAGTACAGTTGATTTTCGTTATATTGCTATAGTTGCAATTGGCAATACAAAAAGAGACGCTTCCATACAACACTTGAAAGTTTAGGCGCGAAGCTTCTCTAAACGCAGGGCCCGGGACGAGCGGTCCATTTTTCAACGCTAACGGCGGTGCTGCATATGATGAGAAGTATATTTATTTATAAGTACCTCTAACTTGAACGCTTCCAAAGTTTTATCATCATCTAAATAATAGTCCATGTTCAGGACTTTAATTGCAACATTACCATGCCAATAGCCTCTATACACTGTGCCAAATCTCCCAGTACCTATAGGTTCTCCAATTTTCAGTTCATCGTAAGGAATGTCCCATTCTCGCATCGATAACTGTGATATTCAATTGATATAGACACTACGATTAAATATTAAATAATTTAAATTACAAACATTTAAAGTACATACGCTATTTTGTCGTGGCCAACGACTATCTCCTGGTTCTCCATCAGAGACTTGGGAATCTTGAGAATCAACCCTAACAGGAGTTCGTTCAGAATCTGTGCTGACACTGCCAGATCCAGAAACACTCACTGTTCTTTCGCTATCACTTGACATAGTCGTACCTTCGAGTCGATGAGTCTCTAACGTAACACCTCTGTCATTAAGCACAACATCTAGAATGAAACGATAGTGAAATGCTCGGTTATTATAATACAATATATTATTAGATGAATACCTGGAAAATGGAACTGTTGTTTGGCAGGTGCCTGTGGGGTTTGGCTAGTATTGGCAGGTAACAAAGCTGGACTAGAAGGCGTTGAGCTGTTACAGCTCGAGGTATTTGAACTAGAATCCGCGCCCTAATAAATTTAAATTAGAGTAAAGTGCAGTTCATATTTTGAAACAGTACTTATTCAACAATTCATAAGTTTATGGACTATGTAAAACCATCATTTGTGCGTAACACACCTGAAAAGGTATATTCATAGAAGAATGTGGATGCGAGCGTTTACGATCTCTTCGATTTAAAGAGCTCAATAAATTTGAATTATGGTGATTAGGAGATGTTATACCAGGTTTAGTTAATATCGGAGAAACATTTACCATACCTAGAAGATGTTATTTTATTTGAAATCTATTAAAACGACAAACATTTGAATAATTTGATTTAAAATGTTTGTACATACTGTCACCTTGTACACTTCTTTTAAACTCGTCAAAGAGTTCTTGAGGTAGGCCACAAGATGGTGGTACTTTAGATTCGCAATCTCGGTGACATTTATATTTACATTCTTTGCATTTCAAACCAGTGCCTATAAACATTTGCTTATCGCAATAGTCGCAAGTTGTCATCATTTTATAAGTTTTGGTAAAGCGATGAGCAATTATATGGCCCATTCCGCGGGTTACAGTTGGCGTACGTGGTGACTTTGGCACTTGGAGACTCGTTACTGTGAAAAATTTTAAAGCAATAGTTTTTCATTCATGTTATAAATAAGAATTTTCTAAACCAATAACAAATATTTACCTGTTCCCTTGAAACTGTTATCATCACTTTCAGCACTAGAATAAGGTGGTGACTTAATAGGACTATTACTATTTAGCAAGAAACTTTCTCCTGCAATGTCTGCGGTACTACTGCAAGATCCTGGTTCTGTAGGTAGACGATTTCTTCTTCCTACACAACTAACAGGATCATTTCCACAACTATAAAAGTAGTGAACGAATATATTTGTGAGCTTCATATATAAAGACTATAATAATTAAAATTATTACCTTGAAGCTGAATCCCCATTTTCAAGTCGGTTTGCTAACTGTGATTCGTGAGACTTTGACTTAGTTAAAGGAAACACTTCTGGTTGTGATATTGTATTTTGTAAACCTATTTGATGTTTTTTACAAGGAGGAGGAGTCGTTGGAAATTTAATTCCTGTTATTAGAAGACAGAATTTTGTATTAATTGTTTTACTGTATTATAAAATAAGTAAAAATATCAACTAAGTAGAAAAAGCAGAATTTATTTACCACATCCTGGTCTTTGTAAAAGAGGGGTAGAAGGAGGACTAGTTGACGATAAAGACGTAACGGAAGAAGCTTGTGCTAATATATCACTGTTAAGATTGTTGTTGTTATGATATGGAATGCTATCTTCTGAAGGAACAGAACATCTTGTTGTACGGGATCGAGCTGGCCTAGGAGATGCTCCAGTACGTAAATGATGTCTATCCCAAGAATCCCAAGAATCCCAATACAAATTCATATCACTGTTATCCATATCCCCTCTTAGGAGAACATCTAAATACCACAATGTTTCAAATAAAATACATATCTTAATACATGAATAAATAATAACTGTATAAATATTGTTATATGTAATCAATTTTTACCCATATATCGACGAAGATTGTGTAATGCCCTACAAAGTCTACGAAGTTCTTCTTCGTGTTTAACATTATTTTCTCCCAACATGCTACCTAGTTCATGTTCAGATTTTTCTTTGAGAGCTTCAAGTGAGTTAGCTTTAGAACAAATCATCTGAAATTTGTAATCAGTATAGATGTCTATTAAAATTTTACCTATGTATTCAAAATAAACTTTTTATACCTGTATAGACTCTTGTGTAAGTCCCACTACCCTTAACCATTGTTGCAAAGATGGATACTGTTTCATCTCTGCAGGTAACGATTCTTCTAAAGCCAGTTTGGCTTTGGTTACAAGTTGCTTTGAATATAATTTTATAAGCTTCCCCTAAAATATATTTAAACAATATAAAATAAGAAAAATTAATATAAACATCAAAAAGAATTTTGTCAGCGTTAAAATAATTTGATCTGTCAAATATTCCATTAAATATCATAGTACTAAAACTACAAGTACTTATTTCTAAATTGCTTATATTCTGTTAACAAAAATTGAACGAACCTCTGTGAGATATATTTCTGTGATTACTACTGACATCATTATTACAATTATAAAATAAAACAATAGTGGTAATGACAATAAATGACCATATTTATGAAACACAAGTAACAAAAGATTTGCATGCACAACTGTCAACACATATACAGATATAAATTCTTAGTTAATAAAGAAATGCATCTGCAACTTGTTGACAATCAAGAAACAGCCTTTCACGAGGTCAAGGCGATCGTGCTGAAGGGAATAAAGAAAAAACGAGGAACAACGAGAACAACCATACACGCTTGAGAGTACCTCAAGCGTCCGAATTTCCTGTTGAGTGAGTTCTGCACTGGTGGAACATTGGGTCCTCAAACCTTCAAGTCGATCAGCAGAGATGTCAATCATGGATTGAACGACATCTAAGGCTCGACGGATTTCTTGTTCCGCATCTTCGCCGTCCGCCATCCCGCGCCACGATGACGGCCCTTTATTTCGTTCTACGCGAGTCTAATTTCTATTTTACAGGCATAATTCCGTTCGCGTTGGGCTCCTATCGTTCGCGGCTTTATCACTGATTCTCCATGTAACCAAACCACTTATCAACATTGACAACCATCTTGGCCGCCTATCGGTGACGTCAATCGGTGCCCGACAATCCGGGATTTCAGCACGTTCATTCGAGCGATACTGCTACGTTCATAAAAGTGTTCTTTTCTACTTCCAATTATTATATTCATCATTTTCAATAGCGAATAAAAAATTTATAATTTGATTAAACTGCAATTACTATAAATGTTAAAACATACATTTTACTACTACCTATTGTATTTTCCATTTTACAAAATCAAAATATAAGAATTGAAGACACGCACATATATGTAAATAATTGATTTTTCTGTTATGCAGATTATTTATTGGATATCATATGGAAGTGCCCTTTTCTAAAATTATTAGTCAAACTCTATTTCACGAAAGAACAAAGTAGACAGTAACTAGATAGTTTATACGCCTCACTAGCCTAGGGGGGTTACTACTCACGAATGCGACGCTCTTCTACTGTCTGTTTCTATCTTCGTGATCATGTACCCGTTGGAAAAGAATAAACGAACAACGATATTATCGTAAAATGGACGATAATGGAGAGAATATAAAAGATAAAAAAATATTACACTAAATTTTTTAATGTAAATATGTAAATATGAAACAAAAAATTTTTAGCCTCACGAACGAAATATATTGAAAACCGCTAGAATGAAAATCACGAAATTTTCTGTCCACTGAGTATATAAAGACGGCATTCGTGATTTTCATAGGAGCGCATGCGCAGAGTCATAGATTATACAATACATGAACTCAAAATGTGAACATGCGCCGAAAAAGCGAATTTTCGTAATCTACTTATTGTGTTCCATCGTGGAACAGAAGATACGATACCCAGGAATACATAAATAGAAATTAAATGTATGGTTTTTGGAACATTTCTTAGGTACGTATTCGTTCCACGAAAGATCGTACTTAGTTCGCGCATCATGACTAACTTTAGGTGGTTCTCTATCGGTAAATGTTTTCTCCCACCACTGTATACTTTCTACTTTGTCGATCATATACATGGTGGACGAAATACACAAATAGCAGAAGGGAAAATCGATGAATCGTTCCATTGTACAAAGTATACGAAATAAAAGTCCACTGGGTATATATGCTTGACATCACGAAAGTCATATGGACGCATGTGTGGTGCTGTTGGTTAGAAATTGTGTTCGAACCAGTCAAAGTTTATATGCGCAGAATGAACAAAAATTCATCGTCCGATGTGTATGATCTTGTGGTCAACGAATAATAAAACGCATAATAAGCGCCACTTGCATCTTCTCCCGTCACTTAGCACATCCAATATGAGATTTGAAGTTTCTTATCTAACTGTCTTATCCGGTCGATGAATAATCATGTTCACTCGCTACCTCCTGATTTCGGTGACATGTATTCTTTAGATAAAATTCTGTGTTTTGTGTTTGAATCGTGGAATTTATAATAATTGCTGTTGTTATATGTTAGCGTTAACAAGACTTTATAGAAATGGTGAATATAGGTACAATACTAAAGACTTATCCGTTGCATTGGCTTGTGTGGAATAACAACTATCTAGAACTTGAGGAACAATTATCTTCAAAACTGGTTTGTAAAACAGAAAATGTCATTCAATTTTTTAATCTATTATTATATTATCATTCATCATACTTGTCATTAAACAGACGGAAACAATAAAGTCATGAGAATGAAGTATATATCAATTGTTTCTTTTCTCTCAGAAGAACGTAATACATTGATAACTTTTTTATTTGTTACACGCGATATTGAAACACTTTGCTCAAAGTAATGATAAAATATAAAAAAATTATATATGATAAACAATATTGGAAAAATTATATTACATTTACTGTTTGATTAAAAAGTACAATGTAAACAGTATTTTTCCCTTTTTAATTTAATTATCATAATTAACTTTTATTCGTTATTAAAAAATTAATTTACCAAAAGAATAATTTATTAATTACTGAAATAAATTATTTAGAATGTTATCAGAAAAATTTCACGAATGAAGCCTTATACAAGTAGGAAACCATAAATGTACACTGACTTGTAACTTTTGATATTATCAGTTTGAATATATATCATTTGGTGTGATAAGTCTTATTAAGGAATTTAATGTCAACATATATTTATATCTCTTACTATAAAACTCATAGAATCTTCTGTTTGTTTATGTATAATAACTTTATTCCTTTTCTAAAGTCCTAGACATCTTGATAATCGTAGTATTTGATAATACTTATATTATTTTTATATAAATTACAAATTATATGGTCACAAAAAATTATGTTTTAGCATGATATTGAAAAAGTTGATAACAGAGGGAGAACACCGTTAATGCTAGCTGTAACTTTGGGTTATACCGATTGTGTTGAAGTGTTATTACAACATGATGCTAATGTTAATACAGAAAATACTCAAGGATGGACTGGTAACAATTTTGTTTGTTAAAATTTTATATCAATTAGTATTTAGATTTTAACTCCATTATTTTTATAGTGGTCCAAGAAGCGGTTGGTACAGGAAACCCTGAATTGCTACAAATGGTGCTAGCACGTAGAGATTATCAAAGATATTGTAATCGGACAGCTGGTATTCCAGAATTACTTCATAAACTTAAACAAGTAAGTTTATTAAAATATAATAGAAAAATACAATAATATGAAATTAAAATATATAACATTCAATAATATTTTCAGGCTCCTGACTTTTATGTTGAAATGAAATGGGAGTTTACTAGTTGGGGTAACTATAAAAATGTGTAATATCCCCATTATTTTTGGTTACAAATGCAAAACTAACATTTTATCTATTATTAGTTCCTCTTGCCTCTAAAATGTGTCCTAGTGACACTTATAAAGTATATAAACAGGGCAGCAACGTGAGAATCGATACCACTTTATTGGGATTTGACCATGCAAATTGGCAACGTGGAAATCGTAGTTACGTTTTTAAAGGACAAAGTAAGTATTGGATTATTGTAAGGTTGCATGCATAACATTTGTTAAGTTCATTTTATTTGTCAGGTTTTTTTTTGAGTATTTTTTTGAGGTATTTCATTTTATATTAATAGTAGAATTTTTTATTTATTTTTTAATTGTATATATTAAATGCAAGCTGCATCAAATGTACCTGTGGCAATTAGATGTGAACGGAGTTATGTATTCAGTATGGTGGGACATGAGTCAGGTGACAGAACAACTTTTACAATTAATAATGTGATGTACAAGGAATGTAGATAACATACACTTTTATGAAGTAGCAAAAACTTTCTTTATAGATTCATTTTATTGTCTGTTTATTTGTATTTATATTTCCGTTATTATTATTTCTTTGCAATTTTATTTTTAAACAGTTCAGTAGAATAAATTGTAAATTGTAAGAGGTAAGTGTATATACTATGGAATTATAGAAATTACAGTAATGTGTATAATATATCTATATTCATGGAAATAAGTTTTAATAGAAATTTATCTATATCTTGTTATAAATAAGTAGTTGTCGGTATATTGTAAAATACTTCAGAAGTGATTATTAGTATCATTAGTAGTAGAGAAATACAAATGTGTAATGTAGAATAATGTGAAAGTTCTACTTTTATTATTTTTTTATCAAGTAACTTTAATGATATAAAGATAAAATCTGTTCACACAGATGATGGAGCAACAATGATGGAAGTAGATCATGAAACAAGAAAAGTGTATGTCGAGCATATGAAAATCATCGATGTTGATAACATACAGTTAATGGAACCAGCAGAAGAGGGTGTATTAGCTCGGCTTACAAATCCAATAGTTACTACATATATAGATACGGATAAAATTAGTTTTGAACGGTAATTATTTCGTAGTAAAATATATTTTGACTTGTTAATTGTATTTATATGTACTCATACAAAATTATTTTTGAATGATAGCAATAAAGCTGGTTTATGGGGATGGCGATCTGATAAAAGCGAAGTAATAAATGGACATGACTGTAAAGTTTTTAGTGCAAGTAATGTAGAATTAATAACAAAAACTCGATTAGAACATTTATCTGAGCCCGATAAAGCGAGGGCCCGTGCACCTCGTACACCTCTTCAGTCATTTCTTAGCATAGCGGAGCAACAACAAGAAAACAGTATTAGTGCAACTACTAGTGTAATTTTTCTGTCTTTAATATTTAATTACATATATTATACAAATACTCTAAATTTCATTTATTAAATTAAATATTTTAGGAAGAATATAGCAATGTTGGAAATCCTTGTAATATTACAGCTGAAGAATATTTTGATCCAGATGTTGATTTAAATGGAAGAGATATAGGTAGACCAAAAGAAGTTAATACAAAAATTCAGAAATTTAAGGTATTATAAATAGCATTACATGGAAAAAAATTATTATATAGTAATCGTAAAACATGACTTGAGATTTATAATTTATTGCTTGCATACAATTACAGGCAACTTTATGGCTTAGTGAACAATATCCATTGAGTCTTCAGGAACAAATTATACCAATTGTCGATCTTATGGCAATATCTAGTTCACATTTTGCAAAATTGAAAGATTTTATCCAAATGCAGTTACCTGCTGGATTTCCTGTTAAGATTGGTAAGCGCTTAAGTTTATTTCCTCTTACAATAAAAGGGCATGTGATATAATAAGTTTAGGAACGTTGAATTAAAATTTATTTTGTTTATAGAAATTCCTCTGTTTCATATACTAAATGCAAGGATAACATTTGGAAATATATTTGGTATGGATCAAGAAGTACCACATGTTGGGCATTTACAAGAAACTAATAGAATGACTTGTTTAGTTGATGATATTTGTTTTGAAGCACCTGTAGGATATGTGAAACTGGGTATGTTTAGTTCTTATAAGTAAAATAATGCAAGAAGTTGTCAAACGTATAGTTACTGCTAAATTTATATTAAAAAAAAATCGTCATTGCATCATATAATAATTATTTTATAGGTGCTGAAGTTCGAACTCAATTTAGTATCGAAGAAGAAGATGATCTGTTACAGTTTGCTATTCAACAAAGTTTACTAGAAGTTGGAAGCGAACGCGATGAGGTATGGATCCTTATAGTAGGAACATCTTTTATAAAATTTTACAATTTAATTTTTGCCATTGTAATTATTATTATTTCAAAATTATTTAGGTTGACATATGGGAAGCTTTGAGAGCTCAAAAACCGTCTCGACCTACAACGCCTAACATGACGACGGAAGAAGAAAGGCAATTACAGAGGTATGTAAATATGTATTCCGTAGGAATGCTATTTCACGTATTTTGTTTTCGTTCTCAAAGTTCTAAATTATTTATTTTGCATGTGTTCTTGCTTGACAATTCAAATTCAGGAAGGTGGGTGAAGGATTGTTACAAATATTAGTTGCATGATAAACATTAAAAATTTGTAATTTTTATTAGGGGATATTAATAGTGAATATGTGTACAAACATTTTTGCACCAAACACAAGAAACAGAAGTACATATTAGAATAAAATATCTTTTTTACTTTTGAAAATTGCATTTTTTATATAATTGGTGGTTCATTTTTCATTTTTGTTCGTACATTGAAGTATTTAGAATAATATTATGCCAGCATTTCGTGATCTTAATAATAAATTTTTACTTTGTTTTTGTTAATACAGAGCTATTCAAGCAAGCCTAGCACTATATCAGGAGAATTCTGCTGGATGTGCCAGCGGTCGAAATAACTCTAACAAAACGAATGACGTAGAAGATGCTGATTCTCTAGAAGATACGGCAGAACAACTCAGATTGGCGTTAAGACTTTCGGAGCAACAACAATTAGAAGAAGAACAACGTCGATTATTAGAAGAAGAAACGTTTCGGCAAGTGTTGGAATTATCTCTTACAGACAAATGAACTTTAAAACGTGCAATAGCCACTTAAACATTTCATTAAATTATACTTCCACATCTACGATAATCTTCCGACGACGTAATATCGTGATGCTGTCTAGCATCAAATCATTTCCTACGATTCGTACATTAAAAAACAAAACTGTTGTTTTTAACAGTCATTTGTTATTACAAGTAAATATATATATATACATACATATATATATATATATAGTTGCGAAATCAGATCAAAGTGGTGGAAATAATATAGCACTAACTATGAAAGTAAATGATTTAACTTATGTTATTTATTTCTTAGCTACATTTTATATGAAAGAAAGTTGTAACGGTATGGTGGAACATGGTATGTAATGTTTAGAAGTCTTGAAAATTACAATTGCTCTGATGAAGAGTCAGAATATTTTTGAGTCTTAAATTACATTTAAATCAAATGACATTAGTTAAATAGGGAGGGGGGAGGGGGGCTTGTTGAAAGTACGTACTGTAAGTTACGGCTGTCAATATTTAAAATAAAAAGCTTGTAATTCTCAAGCCTTCAATAATTATTGGTTTTATCCTTTCTCCTAGTATTAAATTTTCATCTAAAAAAATTTTTTAGCATAGAAATTTAGAAGTATATATCAGATTAATATTTTAATTAATTCTATGTAACAATCTACTAAAAACTGCCTTTTTTAATGTTCGGGCAATTAAAAAACTATTCCAAGTTCCTTTTTATACCCGTGATAAAATAATTGTAAGTAGCGTTTCAATTTATTAAGGGTAGTAGTGATATAATAAAAGTATGTTATTTATTCCTTAAAGTTTATTCGTTATAGGCGGTAATTTCGTTAAAATATTTAATACAAATTATGTGTATGAAATAAAAACATCATTGATTAACCTGTTGTTAATACACGAATTTATCAAAAAAATCAAACGTAATTATACTACATATCATTGCTCTGTAAAAATCTTTATTATAAAGATAAATTATTGCTTCTCTCACAATTTCAGTTAAAATTCGAAATAATTGTTCTTAACAAAATGTAATTGCAATATATTAATTATATTGCAATAAAAGGGTATATTTCTACAATATACAACAGGTGTAATTATACGTATAAAATAAAATATGCGTAGAAAAGTATGGAAAAAAAATATTTATACAATACTTGAATAGAAATTTTATTATCGATAACTGACGGTAGCTAATACTGCCATCAATAGACTACTCAAATTCTGATTGTGCCCTAAAACAAAAATACCGTTTTTATAATAAAATTATGTTTCACAGTATTAAATTTAATCTGAGAAATATTTTTACACGATTCCAATCGAAAATTGAATATATTCTCAATGATATCTTTGATACAAACCTTTTATATATAGTATTTAGTATATGTGCACTCTGCGCAAAACGTTGTTCGTTCTTATGTGCTTGTTGATGCCACTTTTTGCGTACAGCATTCCAATGTATTCTATGTTCTCTCAATAATGTTTCTCGTGATATTAAAGTTTGGCCGTCCTAGGATAAGTAGCATAGTTAGGTACTATAATATCGAATTGATTAAAGGGGTAAACATGGAATTTTGCTGTACAAACATCTTACATAATCTAAGCTCAATTCTTCCTTTGGTTTATTGATTGGTGAAGGTATACGATTTCTAGGTATAGCTTCTTCGCAAGGTAGCGGAGGAGGTAAATAATAAACATCGCGGACTTCTCCATTAGTATCCAGTATATTATTACTAATATTGACCTCATTTACTATTTCTGGACTTGGACTGCGCACTCTGAAAATAAACACAAATTATAAATTAGTTTTTCTAAATTATTCTTTAATTTTAGATGATATATAGTAAAAGATTACTAGTTCCTTCCACAGTATTTTACGAATATTATTTAAAGTTATGTTAGTGTAAATATTAATATGTGCGAAAATGTAATGGAATTAATTAAATAGCATAAGATATACATGTACGAAAATCAAAATGAATGAACAAATAATATTTAGATATTTACAATTGTATATTTGTTTTACTTACTTAGGTACAAGATTAGGATTTCTTGGCTGATTAGCCATCCATGCTCTGCATATTGGATAAAGCGGTGTATCTTCTTGAAATTGTGCTAAATCAACACTTCGATCAAATAATTTCATTACATAAGTATGATGAAACGCAGTATCCATTTGCACTTGTCTACGACGTCTTACTTTTCGTGGTTGTTGAAAACCCATTGCTTTTGTTCTATATATATCACTAAAAATGAAAATTCATTATTTATTGGAAAAAAAATTACTGCTTATATTATAAATGTTACATTTTCTTCATCTGATGCTTATAATCTTGTGTGGAATTTTCTTCACTTGAATCAGCTGATGAGCCTGTATCGCTATGTTGTAACAGTTCCCTAAGAGCTCCTTTCAAACGATCTCTTGCAACAAGTACATCGTTGTCTCCTATAAAATGTGTATTAAAAGAAAGAATGCAGTTATTTTGCAAATGAATGTATTACAATGATCTATTATAAAATAATAACTAGGATTAAAATAAATGAATATCAATATTCTTCATTACCTAATTCATCTTTTATTTCTACCTTCACACGAACAGGTGTGGGTTGAATATTTCTTTTTTTCCCCATCTAAATTGTAATAAAATTTATTAGACACAGTATAAATATTTGTAATTATAACTTTATAAACATATACAACACTAACCATTATTCAGAACGTACCTTTTGTGAAAATTCCAAATAAAATATTTTGTTTTTAAATTTAAGAAATATATAAATGTGTTATTACAAGTTATAATTATGAAAAGAAAACGTGTATTTGCTTATTAATAAATATTAGGCCATTGGAAATTCAAATTTATAAGGTTAGAAAATGATAAATTTTCATACTATTTCAGTAGTGATAAAAACCAGATTATTTTAATTGTAGTTTAGTTTCTTCTTATTTTTTTTAAACAAACATCGCATTATATTATTTCAACAATGATTTTATTATAAACGATACAAATTGCAGCAACTTCATATACGATTGTAACGCGTTAACGTTACGTCTTGACACTCAACCTAATAATCCAATTCATGAATGGATCATTCGGATATGTTTGTTGTGTAAAATATTTTATAGCGATACGAATTTGTATATTTAAGTTATATAGAAGTCAATAAAGTGATGCAGTTGATATCAACTATCCAATTCTTGTTCATATTCAATGTAATAAATACATTTGCATATAATTGTTGTTCTTATGGAAAAAGTTACAGATGCAGATTAGGTACAAAAACACCATACAGATTTATATCAAACTATGATGATTCACCTTTTGACTATTCAGGTATGTAACTACAAATGTAATATTGATCTCTTTATTTCATTAAAACGTATTTTGTTGATGTTAAATATAGGTTGTAGTCCAACAAAAATATGGTTAATTATAAGACATGGTACAAGATATCCTGGTAAAAAATATATACCCACTATGATTGAAAAATTGCCAAAATTAAAACAAATCATTTTAGACAATTATAAAATAAATAAGACAAGTATTACAGAGGAGGATGCAGCTTTGTTTGCAAACTGGAAAGTTAAATTTACAGAAAATGATATGATGAAGTTAGCGGAAGAAGGTGAAGATGAAATGATTAATCTTGGAGAAAGATATCAAGCTAGATTTCCTACACTTATGACAGAAATTTATGATAACCAAAGTTACAAGGTAAAGAAATATACATACTTTAATTTTAACATAGTTTGTGGTATATTAATTACATTATTATATTACATTATAGTTTAAATATACTGCTACTCAACGTACTGAAGAAAGTGCAAAAAATTTTGCAACTGGATTATTTGGCAGGCATGGTAGCCGTAAAGTTTGGTATCCAGAAGCAGAACATAAGGATCCTATCTTAAGAGTAATTAATAGTCTTACCATTTACAAGAGAATTAATTTGCACTTGCTTATTCATTTTGTTTCAAGTTTTTAGTTTTATAAAAGATGTCAACGTTGGAGATCTGAAGTGGATAAAAACCCAGCTGCTCTAATAGAGAAGGAAAAATTTTTGAAGAGTAATGTTTACAGAAAGATGTTGCAAGATGTCTCAAAACGTATTGGTTATCAAGTTGACCAAGGTTATTATAGTACAATTGACATAAAAACATGATATTTTAAAAAGAAATATACAGATGGATAAAATTCATGTTTTAGAAACAGCACATATTATGTACATGATTTGTGGGTTTGAAACTGCTTGGCAGCTAGATACAGAATCACCATGGTGTAAAATATTTTCCATGCATGACTTCAAAGTGAGTTTCCTGAACTTTACATTTTAAAGTGCAATTATTTTTTAAAATATTTTATCATTTGATCATATTTATAACTATAAATTATAAATTACAAATTCTGCTTTTAGGTACTTGAGTTTGCTGAAGATTTAGAATATTATTGGATAGATGGATATGGTCATAAATTGTCTTATGAACAAGCATGTCCTGCCTTAAGAGACATGTTTGATTTTTTTGAGTAAATATATGTTTTGTACTTTTAACTTCGTTTATATAAAATTTGTTTATCAAAATTTGACTTTGATTATAGGTCAAACGAGGGACCAGTAGTATCTGCATATTTTACTCATTCAGGCACCATTTTAAAGGTGTTAGCTTTACTAGGAGTCGCTAAAGATGATCAGCATTTAACGCACGACGTATTTTCATTGTATGCGGATGATAGAGCTTGGAGAACTAGTATTATAGATTCTTTCGCCTCTAACATCGCATTTGTTTTATACAAGTAATTATTACTTTATGCAAATTTTCATTACTTTGATTGTCAATACAATCATTTCATTTTTAACTCTTGTCTTTTTTTGTTTCAGTTGTTCAGGGATTCTCAGCGTTCTTTTTATACATCAAGAAAGACCACTATTTTTGCCAGGCTGTCCTTTAAATGTACCATGTCCATTATCTATCATGAAAGCTCTCTATCCTAATCATGAAGAAGAGTGTCAATTTGATACAATGTGTTCCATAAACTAACAAATATAATTAAGGAAACGTACAAAATGACCAAAAATCCATGACATATTATAAATACTTTTTATATTTTATTATACTGTAATTCTTGTTTATGTGATCTAACTTGTCATAGATGAGGTATAGAACAAATATATGTGTGCTGGAGTCAAACAGAGCCCTCTACTTTTTATAAAAGTGCTTGTTTGTCACTGGTTATTATTGAATAAATAGTATATATTTATTATTTACATAAAACTCTGTATTGAAAAATGATTTTTACATAACAAGGTGTCTAAAAGATACAAATTGTATGTGTCTATTTTGTACTTTTAAAATATCCATTCCTCTATTGTAGGTAAACTGTTTATATTCATTAAACTGTTTCTATTTAAACTTTTTTGCATTTAGATATGTTTTTATAAAAAAATGAAGTTTCATTTTTTGATATATAAATATATTATAATTTAATATATTTATTATCTAACTATATATTTAATTTTCATAGATTTATATGCAGGTTAAAACATAACCTTTATATCTTTTAATAAACATCAACAGAGCAATGTGTAAATAATTTTATGAAAAAATGACTTTAGCTACAATAAAAAGTGCGTCTCGGGCTCAGTTGTATTTTTTGAAACGATTTTCTTTTCACGCTGCTAAGTGGAATGTTAATACTTGTCAAAAACATATTCTATCAGAAGATGATAATAATAATAATGGTTTGATATTACCCCAAAGTAATAAAAAATGTGTAAAAGTTGCTTTTATAGGTTTACCAAATGTAGGAAAAAGTACTTTAGTTAATCAACTTTCACGCAGATCAGTATGTATTCTTAGCTATTTTGTTACTTTATTAGTATATTTATTTTTTGGTAATTTTACTTAAAACAAATGTTTGATAAATAGATATGTCCTGCATCTGCAAAGGTTCATACTACGATGCACAAAGCAGATGCTGTGTATATTGAAAATGATACACAGATTGTATTTATGGATACACCTGGATTGGTATCAATGCGAGAAATGAAAAAATATAAACTATCTAAAAGCTTTAGAGACGATCCCTTAATTTCAATCAGTGAAGCAGATGTTATTGGAATTATTCAAGATGTAACTAATGTATATACTAGGCACAAAATTAGTAATTTTGTTATTGACTCCTTGCAGAATAAAAGAGAAGATACTTCGTTATTATTAATCTTGAATAAAGTTGATAAAATAAAGAAGAAAACAGTTTTATTAGATCTCACAAGACTATTAACAAATTCTGAAATTTATCCAAAGTTTGATGATATTTTTATGATATCTGCATTGACTGGGGATGGCATAGATGATTTAAGGGTAAGATGATATACACATCTTTAAATATTATAATATTAATTATTATAAAATGTTATATGTATATTTATATTCAACTTAATTCATATTTTAGAACTATCTACTTGATTCAGCTAAAGTAACAGAATGGAAGTATGAAGACTATGATACTAATCAGAACATTGAAAGTATAATAGTAGAAACTGTAAGAGCTAAATTAATGGATGCTCTTCCATTTCAAATGCCATATACTATTAAATTACAAATGGAACAATTTGGCTACAATGACGATGGTGGTATCGACAGTGCTGTGCTGTTAATCTGCCCTAAACAAAGTTATGTAAGAACATTATTAAAACGTAAAGGTGAAAAAATTAAGTTCATAGCATTTCAAGTAGAAAAGAATTTACGTAGTGCATTTAGAAAATCTGTGTTTGTACGTCTAATTGTAAAACAAGAAGAGAAAAAGTAATAATTTTATCAAAATTATTAATTTTTTTTATACAGAAATAAGTACATAAAAATTTGCACATAATAAAAAAATTTCATTTTTATTTAAAACATTGTTTCATTAATTTTTAATATATATTTATTAATGGATAACACTGCAATATATTGTATAAAATTTTCTAAATTTGGTTGAAAACAAATGTACTCATACATATACATATATATAGATATATATAATATAATCATTCACAGTTATTATTGTTGTTGAAATATGGAAAAGTAAAATCAGTTTTTTTAAGGTTTTCTTCTATCCATTTGTTAGCTTTAGCATTAAGTTCAGGGGTAAACATATCCTTCCAGCTACCACTTTTACCAGTTCTAACAAATGTTCCTGCAGTTATAATACCACATTCTTTTAACTCAGATGAGTTTACCATTGAATTATTCCGAAAGTTTTTGATGTTTAAATAATTAGCTACTTCCTTCATTTGTTCTTCTGTATAGTTTTTTCCAAGAAACTTAGCAACTTTTTTAATTGTCTTTGGAAAGTCCTAAACATGTTATTTAAATAAAAATACATTTACAGCAGAAATAATTCATTTTGAGTGAAATTTGCGACTCACATGTTGCATTTCTTCATAAAATATAAATAATAGATTTGGATGATTTTTATATTCCCATGCTTCTTTCAAATGTTCCCAATAAGGACTCCATGGTGCTGAAAGAATTTACAACTGTCTAAATTGTATCATGTGCTATGTTTTCTGCTGTATGTATATAATACTTACTGAGATTATTTTGAAAATAATCCCAAAAAGTTGCAAAGTCACCTACATATCCTTGAGTCTTAATTGCTTTATTCAAGTGATACCAAGAAACAGCAACATCTTTTGGATTCCGTGCAACATATATTACCTTTCAATGAATAATGTAACATTGTATGAAATTATGAAAAAACAAATTTTTGATTTCATAATTATAATTCTACCTTGCAACCAGTATCCAAAATACCAGGCAGTAAACTAAATGGAAAATGTGATTTAATGAATCTTTTAGAAGTCATTTTTGATAAGACTTCATATCCAGGTTCTGCAATCTTTTTACAGAGTTCTTCCTTATCTTTGTTGCCTTCATTCATTTTTAAAAATTCAAGTGTTACCTCTGGATGATTGAACAAACTAAATCTAAATACAAATAAATTTTAAGCATAAGATAAAATTTAAATTTAAGAGTTTTGAAATATAGATTCAATTATACTAACTCAAGAAATGGAAATCGTTCTGCCAGAAGTTCGTTCTGCGCTCTTTTGAAATCTAAATTGTTTGATAATAACCAAACTAATTCTTGCATCCATGTTGTACCTAAAAAAAAAACGAAATATAATCGAACATTCAGAGCGCATATTATTATTATAACACTTACCAGATCTTGGATAAGATAGAACCCAGGTATCATCTGCTCGTGCTTTGAAGTTGTAAAAACCTTTACCTTGTTCTGTATATCTGTATGGAAAAAACCATTTTTTTGGACCTACTAATACCCAACCAGTTTTCTCTCCTTTAAATAATTTCAACATTTTATTGGTGTCTTCTGTGTTCAGGATTTCATATTTCGGACTTTCAAGTGCCATCGTGTTTGTTTTTATATAAAACTGCGCAAATTCCAATACATAAATGCAGGTATTATCTGTCGAATAAAGCGCGCGAAATATTATTGTTACATTTTATATTTTTTATTACTTATTGTACTTACTAAGTAATATTAATGAAAATATATTTAACAAATTGAATTACACGATCAAACACAGTGAATGTTCTTTATAAGTCATAGAAAAGTTACGGACTGATAGAAATATTACATTCACATGAAACCTAATAATGAACCAAAAGAATTTAACGGGAAAATCAGGTTGAAGCACTTTCACCCGCTAACGGGTCCCGTTTCTTTTTCTTTTATCAGTTTGATCATTGATAGTAAATTTTAAACTATTAGAAAAATCAAGCACATAAAACATTTTATAAATTTTGTTCCTACGATTGAACGATATTAATGCGATAAAATATTTTATTTTTATTCCATATCTGCTAAAATAATTTTTAAATATATTCGTATGATGCATGGCTAAACACGAGGAATGTAGGTATTGAAACATTGTGAAACTTTTTTGTGAAAAATTTATTTCTACTATAATAATAATACCGACAATTAACAACGTATGTTTTAATATTAAAAATTGATCCCTAACGGTGCGAAAAAATCACATCAAGGTTCAACTATTTTATATAGGAACTTCTCATAATACATTATTTATATAATGTATATATCTCAGTCTTTTTTTACTTATAATTAAGATAAGCGTAAGAGTACCTCGTCTTGATGAAATCTTTATTTGCTAGAAGATAATAAGGAAATTTTCTTTGGTTGTGAAATATAAATTTTCATCAGGGACGAGTTACCTAATTAAACCGATTTCCATGCAAATCGGTCTTTACGATGAGCTACCTAAATTGATCACGTGTAGAAAAATGACTTATTTTCATTATAAAAGTATTAAATTAATCTTAAGATAAAAAATTAATAGAAATCTTAATCTACTAAATTACTGAAATGATTTCTTCAATGTAACAAATATGAGAATATTAAAAGTTCAAAGATATTATTGAAATACTAAATTCTAAAAAATTTATTCAAATTTAAGTACTTTTTAAATAATAGATCTGTTTCAGAAACGATACGTAATTTGTTATTGAACGATTTGAAAACATGAAACCTTATATCACATTTGTACTCTTGGATAATATCATTGTACGATAGTCAATGAAAAAATTTAAAGTCAATTCCATATTCTTGTATAGAAAGTATCAAAAACTTTCTGGTCTCAAAACGTTTTCAAGAACTGTCAGATTTTCACTTTCTGGAATGAATTTATCATTAACTTGTGTAATTTGAATTACATTAATTTCAGTGGACCTTGTAACTTCTGTTTTTTCATATAAATCGTGATCCCAAGTTTTATTTACTGGCTCGATACAAGAGATGTTCAGTCCTAATTTGCAGAAATTTACTGCACCCTTATTTTGATTATCTATAGTTTCAGTTGATAATTCACTATTTTGACTCTCAACAAATGTAGGCGAAGTAGGTGTTGATATATCATCGCTTCTCAGATCATCTTCTAACTCTGTGACTTTAGTAAACGACGAACATCTTTCTCTTTTTATAAAAAAGTTTTTAAGTTCTGGATTCGCCAGAAACACTTTGCATCGTTTAGTGTGTATTTTCATGTTGTCATGCCGATTGAAAGGTCTGTCACATCCAGGGCAATGAAATCTATAAATAAGATATGTTACAACATAGAACTTACATTGCATAAAAAAAGCGAATGTCAAGAAATTTACCTAATTTTACTATGTACTGCCATGTGAGCAGCTAAATGAGACTGTTGTCCAAATGCTTTTTCACAGACGTTGCACTTATAATTCCTAATACCTTTGTGTTTTAAAAGATGTTCTTTTAATATTTGACTACTTTTGTACACATTCGGACACAAGGAACATTTGTACTTTCCAACAGCATGTACCTATAAACAAAATTCAAAGTCAGTTAATTTTGACCATTTAACTAACTTTCAGTAGTCTTTCAGCAAATGATCTCACATTTCTATGGTTATGCAAAGCTTTCTTTGATTTAAGGCGTTTACCACAAATACTGCATATATAATCTTGCATATGCACATTTTTATGATGTGTCTCTAAAGCTTCTTGATTGGATAAGCAAGCAGAACACAATTTACATATAACTTTATCCTTGTTGTGCATGATCATGTGTGCTCGTAATCTGCCTCTTGAATAAAACTCTTTTCCACAAACCTTACAATTGACGTCCTGACAAACGTTTAAAAAACATGTAAAACGTGACAAAAATATACATCAGTCAATTACAAAACTACACCAATGGTACCTTTAATACTTTATGAGTCGAATTGTGATAACTTAGCATCTGTCTTCTTGAAGTCGAAAAATCACATAATTTACATTTATATGGACGGTCACCTGTATGAACATTCATATGTTCATCTAGAAGAAACGCAGTGGCATACCGTTTCTCACAGATATGGCACGGAAATGGCTTCAATTTTAAATGACTTTTTCTAATATGCCCACGAATATTGGTAACAGTTACAGTAGAAAAATCACACGCTTTGCATTGGTAAGGTTTCATTTGCAAATGGCCCCAAACGTGTACCTGTAATAGTATGATATAATTTAATATTTACCATGCTGACATACATATAATTTTTTTCAACTTACTTGACACTTATCTATTCTGAGGTAAAAGAGTCCACAAATATTGCAACGTATATTCTTTTTATCGACTATCGTTAAATTCTTCTGTACCTCTTCATGATCGACAATCGACATGTCGACCGTATAATATGTTTCAATGGCTTGTTTTTCTTCATCACTAATCAATTCAGAGATTTTAAAGAACAACTTGTCTTTGCTCTTCCTCTGCTCCTTGCTGTCGTCAGAACTGTTACTTTGATTGTTTTGTTGCAGCAACAATTGTTCAGTTAGACTAGACTTTAAATCTCCCTCTACATTTTGATTTAATGTATCTGCTTTAATGCACAGTTCTAAAGGATCTTTCTCAATCGTTGCAGTGGCTGTCTCGTTTGACGACTTTATAACACTTATACGATTTTGTGCCGTGAATGCTCTTGGTTTCAAATTACTTTGATCATTAGGTAGGTTGGAGCAATCAGTAACATTGGATTCTGTAGTCGCAGTACTTTTACTTGTTTCGGTATTAGTGATTTCTGCTCTTAGTGAAGAACTTAATTGTTGATCCGTTTGATTCTCATTCTCGTTATCCGTCAAATTTATGTTTTCTTGCACCAAAATCTCATTAGGAATCCAAGTTAAGTGACTCAATTTCTCAGTCTGTTTAAGTGTGCCTTCAGATTCCAATTTCTCCTGCTTCACAATAACAGATATTGCTTTATTTTTTACCAAATTGTTTTCAATTTTCCTTGAACAGTCTTCAACATTTTTCAAGTTTTCATCATCAGGTTTTGTTTTTGTTGATTTATTACTATTAGTAGTATTATCCTTTGTATGAGTTTCATTTGATGACGAGTCCATTTCTACCTGTTCCTTCGCTGTGATTTCATCCACTTGTTTAGGTAGAACTATAGTGCTTTTAATTGCATCATTGAAATTAGTATTGTCATAAATATTACGTAAACAATATCTTTTGCTCTTGTTATTAGAATCATTGTTCCTTTTATCAATGACATTCTGCAGCTCTTTCTGTAACAACGCAGCCTCCCTCATTTTTTCCAATTTACTCTTTCTACCTCTCTTACGTCGTACAGGAAACACCGAGTTTTCGTTAACATTTGTTTCATCTTCTCTCAATAAATTTCTTGAACTTGTCTTCTTCATAATAGCGTCCTTTCTTGTGAAATTTGTTTTGCGTTTAAGTTTCGTACCATTACTCTGTCTGTTCATTGAACACTTTTCTCGTGTAGGAATATTATCCAATGTGGATTGAGTGTTCACTATATTTTCTAATGTATTCGTATTAGTCTGATCGTTATTCGTTTTCTCGATATTGCTATACGGCGCGTTACTTTTGGTTATACAATTATTAATGACTGGCGATAAGGCTTTGCGTTTCGTGTCAATTGTTGGTGTAGCATTTTCTTTGTCCGATTCAGCGTCATTTTCTCGTTGGAGTTCATCTTCAGTTTCCTTTTGAACCTGTGGAATAAGAATTATTGTTCATACCCGTTAAGTGAATAAAGGAAATGTATTAGATTTTAACTTACTACCTCAGAGAGTTCCTTTTGAGCATGATGGCAGCTGTCGTAGAAGTCGCACAAGAATTCCAACGTGCCCAGACATCGCATGCACACAATTTGAGGCAATCCATCGTTCTTTTTTATCTGAAACAACAAAATAAAACTTCGATGTTCATGGAATGGATTGCATTCGCATTGCAGAACTTCATTTTTGGTAAGAAAACATCAAACACATGAACACGTACATTAAACAGTTGTTAATTATAGAGTTTTATAGGACAATCTTGGGATTAAATAACGATGGATCCAAGTCAGTAGGATAATGTTCCATCGATGAAAAATTTCAACTGTCCAGTGAGCGATTATTTTCGTTAATATACATGCGATATAGAAAATTATATGCAAGGTAAACGATGCAACAAGCACGGAAAAGATAACGATGAAAATCAAATAATCAGCAGTCCCAAAAATATCGTACCTTTATTGAGAAAAATTGTGGAATCGTTAAACAAATGTATTTTTTGTTCTTATTGTCGAGAGAAATTGTTATATATATATTTATATATATACGCTAATTTATACTGGACATTATTTTTAATGACATATTAATGTTTATCCTTATTAAGAATTACATATGTGTGTATATACATATTTGTTCTATGTATATATGTATATACATACATACATATTCTTTTGTGACAAGTACATTATTTCCTAGACGAAAAAGTAGTTCGATTTAACAAACGCCTCGTAAAAAATAATAGTTATTGCTTATCACTTAACTATCTGAGGAAATAGTTTATACGTTAATTATAATATCTTTCACGTAATTTTGTTAATAATTCTCGCATGAATCACTTGTTCCAAGAATATATAATAATCGTAAGTCATACATAATTCTTTGCACTCCTGGCTTTTTTATGTCTGAATCTCTTTTATACCTTTCATAAGACTCTAAATATTTTCAAGGTCACTTTAAGATCATTCTAAATATTTAAAAAAATATATATATTTATATTAATGTTCAGAGCAAACCGATACTTGATAAACAGGAAATTTTATAATTATGAGCATTTCTTTTTTCTCTATATCTTCACTATAGTTAAAGAATAAAGAAACTTGTCATTTTACTAGAAAAAAGAATATAGCAATGTTGTAACAATTTTATGAAATTTTATCTATAAATTTATGTCAAGTTTTTAGAGCGCAAAGAATTAATATCAACTTCCTTCACAAGGAAGATCAATGTCACAAATACTCAAAAACCATCAATGCTCACACAATGCGTGATCAAAATATGTTGAGTTCAAGGCACTTACATATAATTCTAGTTTCGTTTCTTCTCGCAGATCACATAATCAATTTTTTCAACGCGTTTCTTATGCTAACTTTGTAGCGAAATTTCTGTTACTCTGAACAATGTAGATTCCACTGAAAATAATTGAATATTCGTCCAAACGTATATACGTTTATCGTGGATCAAAGGCAAATATGTGTTTTGTTTTAATGAACAATTGTTTTCATTGGACCTCTACGTATATACATGTAAGAATCTTATATGTAAAATAGATTCGAAAATAGAGTAAAATGTACATTGCACATGTATGGTTTAAAACTTTTGTGATTCTTCTAAAAACAGTCATGTAAAAATACATAGAAAATATTTTTATACATCTTTTTAGATGGAATTATTCATTTTGGAAGCCCTATCTGTACCATGTTCACATTTCTGATGAAATATATCTCTTTAGGAAGCTAAGTGTGCGATAAATATACAAATTTTTGTAACACTTCATACTGTAATATTCTTTGGCTTCCATGCACTTGAAAATTTTGATCACTTTCATATTTTTACAAAGTTCATCAAATCTTTTTAAAGCAACTTTGATGCTAGATTGTCATACATTCAATGGCTTGTCTTTATTACAGCTTTGGTAAATTCTAATCGATAGTACTTCATGTGCAAAAATTCTTATAATGTAGTACACGTAAATGGAAAGAATACTTAAAAGATCTCGGTAGTTTCTTAAATGCACACCTACTACATTATGTACAAAAAGAAAAAACTACTGTTTCAAAAGAAGAAACGCCAAGGAAGGAATTGAATTAACTGATTCGTAATGTCATTATTCGTTTGGTAATATATGTTGTTCTGAAAAATAAAAGTGACATTTCCTAGAAAACGTGGCTACTCTGAATCTAATCACATCCACATTATCAGAAACAGATTTTACTTCGTTCTTGCAATAGTATCTCACAGTTTTCTTAAAAAAAGTCGACATAAACGAACAACGTCCTGTCAGTAGACTATGAACGTCTCAGCACTTATATGATATATGGGAGTTTGCAAAACATACAAAAGTTATGTAATCTATGAAATCTGTAGATCACATATTTTCTGTATATTTTACAGACCTCGATATACTATAAATGCAGAAACAACCACAGTCTATTTATCAAATATTGTTGATTCGCATAATCTAATAATTAAAAAGCGTTTCTTTCGGAAAGTTCTGACTTATCCGTGAATTAAGTTAAGCTTACAAAAATATCAGAACTATGCTCAGTTCGATTACTTTTCATTGGACGTGGTGGAAGTCACGTCAACGTTAGAAGCATTCTTTTGTTTAATAATACCAGTCTTTTTATCTTCGAAATGTCTTTTTCTATGTACTTTCATGTTATCGCGTCTATTAAACTTACGCCCGCACTCTGGACAAGCGTGCATCTTTTCACCGTGCACGTGCCGGTGCGCAGCCAGATGACTAGCTTGAGCGAATCTCGCACCACATTTCTGGCATATGTGTTTCCTCAACCCTTCGTGTTTCAATAAGTGTTCGTTCAGGAATGCTTTGGATGCGTATCTATTGTTACAGACGTTACACACGAAGGGCTTAGGATTAGAGTGTTGCAACACGTGAGCTTTATACTTGGACGCGACCTTGAACGTTTTACTACAAACCTCACATGTATACGTTGTTGCATGTCGCGTTTTAATGTGTTCGTTTAAGACCGCGAGACTCGAATAAAGATTATAGCAAAATCGACACCTAAAGTTACGACGGTTTTTCAAGTGTACACTAGCAACGTGACTCAGTAATCTCGTACGATAAGGAAACACTTTGCCACAATATTCGCAAGCTAAATTCTGCGGAGGTAAATGCGATTTCATGTGGATCTGTAACGACACTTTATGGTGATAACTTTGACCGCAGTCCGTACAAGAGTAAGGTCTCACGCCTTTGTGTACATTATCGTGTTCCATCAAATAGAATTTCGATTTGAATCGTTTTGGGCACTTTGGGCACTGTATTGGCCTCGGATTAGTATGCGAACATCGGATATGTTTCATGACGTCGGACTTACATACGAATTTAGCGTTACATAAAATACAGGTATACTGTTTAATTCCGAGATGAGTCTTCACGTGAACCATACACTTATCTTTACGTTCATAAAACTTGCAACACAATTTACAGGAATAGCCGTTTTGATTGTCCGATACAACATGTTCGACATTGTCATCCACACGAATCTCTTCTCCGTCGATCTTGAACAATTCTTCAGGATTTTGAGAAGCCTGCCATTTTTGCTCGAATTCCGCAGAGTCTTTCGATTTTGTCGAATTACCATTCTTAAGACTACTGCTGATAATGGTATTTATTATACTATTTACTTCTACGCAACTTTGGCTCTGTAGAAGACCAACAATAGCTTTATCTACTAGACATGAACCTTGATCTGGAAATACCCGTGCTCGAACTGTGGCAACGTCGTCACTTTCCTTTTTACATAATTCTACAGTGAAACTAATATCTTCAATATCACTGTTTTGATTCCTGGATTCTTTCACGGAAACCTCAATGTTTGGAGAGTTTGATACAATAGTGAGAAGTTTATTTAATGCAGATGTTGGAATTTGAATAGTATGAGAATCTTGTTTTCCAATTTGCTTTTCAAGATTTGTATTTGAGCTGTTGCGTGAATTATTAACAGTTACTTCTGTGGCAGTATTGTTATGACTTCTAAGTCTGTTCGCGATTGGCATATCACTTGTTGCTTCATTGGTGGTAGTTGCTTCTGTACTCTGTCTGCTTCTAAGCCAACGTGTGGTTGTTTCTGAGCTTTCAATAGTCTGTACCTCTTCTGTAGCATTCTCATTCTGGTTTTGATCACTATTTTGATCTTTTGAAGTTTCCTCAGTACTTTTCGCTTGCTGCTGACTCCTTAAATTTCTTTGAGTTTTTGTAGTTGTCTTTGAAACACGTTCTACTTCTTTGACAGTCTTCTCACTTGGAGAATTTAAATTTTTATCAATATCATTGTTGTTATTATTTGTTGAAGTGCTTGGTGTTGTATCTTCAGTCTTTACATCAGCCTAGGAATAGATTGAAATGAAAATAGAAATGGGTACCAGAAATTTACTGATTTTATTGAAGCAGTGAATTTAATCTGGTATTTATGGTGTATGTTCATTGACATAGTTCAAAATATACTCAAAGAATTATTTAAATTTAATAAGTATTATACTTTCATTTATTATAATTTTATTTGTACATATTTGAACCAAAATACCAAATGATGCTTCTCTTATGTAATTTGTATTTCAAATATTATAAGAAAATGAATAATATCATAATGAGCGGTAGAGCTATACATTAAATTGAATACAAACTTACAATTTCTGATAAGGGTGGTAGATTGTATCGATCGCGTAACACTTGTTGGGTGCGAAGACACTCCTCTTGGAAGTCACAAACGAATTCGAGCTTGCCCAGACACTGAACACAGATCGCCTTGGGCAGAGGATCCCTCTCATCTATCTGCGATTCAAACAAAATACCTAAATACTAAATATATATAATTTAAAAATCTTAATTGAAAATCTGATTCTGTTGAATTTTTAACTAATCTAAGAAATCTGGCAAAAGATAATTATACATTTTACTGTTAACCCTACCGCTCTGTACATAAACTGTTATTAGAATTATTACAATCTGGTACCCACTCCAATATCATACATCGTTTTCATTATTATTATGCAAGCTACAACATTTATAATCATTTATTAATACAGTACATTAACATAATTTTTACATAATTTTACAAAAGACATTACTAATTATGAAAATTACAAAACATGTTTCACTAAAATATAGTATATATTCTATAAAATATAGTATATAGTTATAAGTTAAAATTACAATGCATTTGACAAAGAACATAAAGTAAAATCATTTTTATAAAACATATAATTATACAGTTTATACATTAATATTTTATATGAATTTTAAAATCGGATAATTACATTAATACTTCTTTTTCAAAGAAATTGAATATACCAATTTCGTAACAAATACTGATAGTGACAGTGTTGCTAACATTGTCGTAACATCATATATCCCTCATTGAAACATACGTACAATGTGTAAAAGAAAACAGTTATTATTAATAAAATTATGAAAATCATTTAAATTTACTGGAAAAGTATAAGATAACAAAGAAAGGAGATAACGTCTTTTTTTCTCATGCTGTTCTCCCTTCCGGCCATTTTTCTAACCCCCTCCTTTACAATGCAACTGGGGCCCGGACCCCATGGCACACCTTTTACTTGTACTTACCAAAATGTTGATTTTCGTATAAATCTTCAATCCCAAAAATCGTTTGGTGCCTTCTTCACCGAACACATCAATATATATACTTTCGCACTGGCCGCAAAGACGACAAATCTTCGCCTCTCCCTCCCCTAACTCCATTTTTGTTTACGTTGAAGGCTGCCTGAATACGCTTTCGACTACTTGATCGCACCGAAAATTTACCATGGACAATTGGTGCTAATTTATTTTTCTGGTCTATCCCCGAGCACCAGCCGCACGGCTCGGCTGTACCACGTTCCTCGAGCTCGACCTCGTCCCGGTGAAATAAACATAAACGATAAACAAAAGACAAAATTAAAACGCTAGCGTTACTACTTCCTTGCTGGCCTGGCACGGGGATGTAGCCGCGTTGGGCCAGACCAGCATACATTCACTTCCCCCCACACAGTTGTATGAATTTCAACCAATCGGTGATTTCTTTTTTGCATTATACGTCTGTTATTCGTTCAACGGGAGATCGTATTCGTCATCCGACAAGTTTCTGTTCGTTCTGCGCATATCGGTTTTGATTGGTTTAGTCAGCCTCCGTAGCTAGTAGCAACGCGCATGTGCTTTTGCATTTTGTAGGACGCCACAGATATATACCCAGTGATTATTTACTTCGTATTTTTGTAGCACGTGTCACTAGAAAGACTGTGAAGCCCAAACATTTTTAAATTCCGAAATGCCAGTTTCAAAATCCTAATATTTTCAAAATTTATGATTCCTCTTCAGGTGAAAGTATTGAAATCTCGCTCGATCTTACTCGATCTTGATACCGAAGTCGAAGTTTCCAAGAGTCAGAATGAACCGTAAATTTCTCTCTTCTCGTTTATTTATTTATTTTGTCTACCGTGTATATGACTGACAGAATGAAAAGTGTGCTGTAGGAGAGCAATACTAATTGGTGGGGTGCATGCTGAAGTTAGTCGCGTGCGCAAACCGTGTATGATCTCGTGTTGAAAGGATGATACAATGTTCGCCAATAGATATCGTTGCCGCGCTTCTACTTAAAGCATCATGACCGATATATCGACGATTATGATCGATAGCTAAGTTCCTTAGTAGACTTTCGTTCTAGTAACTCTGTTGTCATTGTAATTATCGTTATTGTTGTGTTATTAAAATTGTCATTGACTACTGTCTTAGAAATTGATAGGTAAGTGTAAGAATATCTTGTGGCATTTATAAATAAATCAGTTTGGATTTATAATGTCATGTGTTCGATTAGTTTTATTCTTTGCCACATGTAACGGCATGCAATTGGATATGTTATTTTACTGTTTACTTTATCTCGATTAAATTTAACATTTGGAAAATGGCTATACAGATAAAATAATGAAAGTAATCACATGGTTGTAAAATGATTTATTTACACGTAAAAAATATATTGCTTTTAATTCTTAATCGGTAGAAAAACAAGATTGACTATGTTTATGGCACGACACCTGGAACACATGTTTCGTGATTGAGTCTAAAACTATTTGAAATTGGATTTATTGTCTGATGGAAATGTTTGGTTATGTTTCAGAAAGATGCTTTCAATAATAAATAATTGATGGCAGTAACGATAAGCATTTATAAAACGACTCGAGAGAAACGACTGAAAATGTATAAAATTTATGAACGTTATAAAATAAGAGACACTTAAAATTTACAATAAACATAGTAATAAATATCTTTGTATTTTATTATATATTCAACATATAATATTAACTGCTGTAAGTATTATAGTTATGTAATTCTTTTTAAGAGTTTACAGATTCAATGAAAAAGAAATGGATGCTGCAACATTTGCTTTTGACTATACATAAAATTGGAAGTTGACATAGATGTGGCATATTTCCTTTTTTCATTGAGTTCTTCAATTATTAACTACTACTTTGAAATGCTTTTAATTTATGCATTATAGAAAGTAAAATTACATATTCAGATTTTTCATTGCATATTTTCAATTTTGATACAACAGGCATTATGTAAAGAATATAATTGAAAAATGAATACATTAAATGATTCTGTCATAATTTGTGATATGACTCCAAAGTCAAGTAAAAAGAAAACTCCATTAGGAACAAAAAAGCCACCAAAAAATCTGAAGAAAACCTTTTATGAAAGTCCTTTGAAACATATTCAATTAAGGTAACAAAAGATACTGAACAATTTTATTTACATAATCAGAATGGTTCATAATTTCTGTTTTCTTGATTACAGCAATAAAAGATGGAAACAGATGCAAAAAGAACAGAAACTAATAAGAGATGCTAGACAAATAAATAACAATAGAAAGAATTCCTTTTCTTTAATGAAAGATGTATCTTTGCAAGATAGCATAATTATTTTAAGTGATAATGAAAATGATTCAAGTAATCAAAAGGATCAAAGTAACTGTACAAAGACAAAGAAAAGGAAAAAATCTCTGGAGACATTAACAGAAGATAGAGAATGTTCTACATTTTTACATGATTCAAATAAATGTTTGTGTCAAAAAGACGCTGAAAGATGTCCAAAAAGAAGAAGAAGAAATTCTCCTTCATTACCTGATAATGATTCCTCTTGTCTTTTAATATCTGACACAGAAGATTCTGATGTAATATCAATTGATGTAGATAATGAAAACATAGGTAACGAAATTCATGTGTTTAAAAATTGTAATGAAATTTTATTGATTTTGTATTTTTACTACAATTTTTAATTTATTTAGCACCAGCATCGAATTCTATAAATCAAAATTCAGATGATATTATTGTAGTATGGTCGTCTAAAAATAATTCATGTACATCATCTAAAAATAATTCAGTAGATGAGAAATCTATAAATGACGAAGAAAATAAAATATTTATGGTAGATTGTACTCCAAATCCAGAAAACCTTAGTTATTTAGAATGTAATGAAGAATCAACATCTAATGAATGTGAGATAAATACTAAAAGAAGCAACGAAAAAAGTTCTAAAGAATGCTCTGAAAATAATACTGAAAAGATTAATGAAAAAAATTCAAAACAATGTAGTGAAGAAGATGAAGAAACAAGTGATGAGGAAGAAGAGCCTAAATATCTACCGTTCAGTAAACAAGGACTGAAATTACCTAGAGCTCATAACATAAGTAAAAAACTTTTAATAAAAAAGCCACAGAGGAAGAATACATTTCTAAATTATAGAAGGCATCTTACACGATCATCAAATAATAGAATACCGGTTATAGAACCATCTAGATCTGAACCAGTTAGTCTTGAATCGTCCAAACTCGAACCACCTAGTCTTGAACCATCTAGTTTTGAACCACCCAAACCTGAAGCATCTAGTTCTGAACCACCCAAACCTGAACCATCTATACCAAAACCATCTAATAAATTAAGAGAGATAATTGTTGATGGCAACAACGTGGCTATGGCGTATGATAATCTCCTTTTCTTAATAATTTCAATTAATATACGTATATAAGTAAATATACAATATCATTTTATTTTCTAGGCATAAAAATAATAGAAAATTTTCAGAAGAAGGAATAATATTAGTTACAAATTATTTCCAAAAAAGAGGTCATAGCGTAAAAGTATTTTTACCTCAATACAGGAGGTCAAAATTCACTCCATTACTTGAAGAATTATATAAAGAAGGAATAGTGGTTTTTACACCAAGTCGTAGAGTCGGTAGCAGATGCATAACTCCTTATGATGATCGGTAAAGATTCTTTTAATTGTTTGTACGATGTTCATTTAATTCTTATTACAAATAATATAAACCTACTATTCGTTCTCAGGTATATTTTACAGTATGCGACAGTGTCTGAAGGTATTATAATTTCTAACGATCAGTTTAGAGATTTGTACCAAGAAAAGCCGGAATGGCGCAATACAATCGAAAATCGTGTATTAGCACCAACATTTGTTGGAGATTATGTTATGTTTCCTGAAGATCCCTTAGGCAGAAATGGCCCAAATCTTGAACAGTTTTTGAAATTTTAAATGTAAAAAGATAACAAACTCATAATATAACTACTACTCACTTGGATTATGCAAATATGTTTTCATAATTTTTTTATAAACTATATTTTTTTAGTGTATAAATGTGTAAACATGTACATACATATATATTTGTTACTTAAGTGTTCAAAACATTTTTGTCAAATGTTTTGAATAATATTTAATTTCCTAAATAGTAAAAAAAAATACTAACAAATATTTTTTATCCGTAAAACAAAAAATAATTTCAATATTAAAGTAATTAATACATTAGTGCATCTTTCATTTTTGTTATTTGTTGTACATAAATAAAGTGCTCGAGATATGTACAGCATCTTGCCTAAATGGTACATAGCTATAAAAAATATATATAATGTAAAATAATTAAACTAAAAATTTTGTTTAAAAATTACGGAAATCATATATTTATATTTTACACGTAAATATTTAGTAAATAATAAATTGTATGATTACAATTCTTTTTCATACTTTAATAATTTAAATAAAAATATTTAATTTTAAGTTAACAACACATAATGTTTATAAAAATAAAACTTTCTTTCTTACTAATGTAAATACAAATCAATACAAATGCATAAGAGCTAATTTATAAATACTGAGAAAGTGAAGATCACTTTTCTTTAAGAGGACTAAATTATCAATAAATATAATGTATATAAAGTTTATGTTTTTTAACTGCCAATATACCATTTTCAAAATCGAATCAATCATTTTTTGAGGACACAGAATCCCATGTAGGTTTCCAACACCACTTCCGAGATTTACGAATATTATCCATATTTTCTTGCGCAGTTTCACGAGCCAAACGTTGCATTGGATTGCTATCGTCCGAATTATAACTTGAATTCGATAATACTGTATCATGTTGAAATGCAGAAGTAACGCCTGCAGAAAGCAATATTTTATGTATTTTTGTGTTGCTTAACGGTACAAATTGTATATATAAAAAAAATAATTACTTGCTTTGGCGAATAACTTTTCTAATACATATTGATCATCTTCGGTTGAAGTAGAATGATCTGTTTCAGAACGTCCGAGACGTCGCCCAATCAAATACGAAATACGTTCACCTTCGAACAAAGCTGAAGCTACATGTTTGTCTGATCCAGAAGTTTTTCTATTCTTTTTATGTTTACGATGTATTTTATCCGATTTCAGTGCTGCATTCCCATTCTTGTTGCATAAAACTGTATCATTCCCTTTACCCGTTGAACTCACTGTATTTGAATCAGTAATTAGATTTTCTGAACTATTATTATTATTATTATTATTATTACTTGAAGTATCGTCTTTATTTTGTACTTCATTCTCTGGCGCACCAACTTGCATATTATGCTCAATACTGCTCGAAATATCATTTTGCTTAATATCGCTTCTATCTGTATTTTGATTTTCATGTGTGTTATGGACATCTACGTCAGTTTCACCCTCCTGTTTTGTTGAATCTTTTTCAGATATTTGCTGATTATTTTCTGAAGTGTTAGCGTTTTGCGTGGTGGATTTAGAGTTTACTGTATTTTGACTTATATTTTTACTAAGCGTGGCAGCCAATTGCCGCATTTTTTCAATTTTACTGGAAGAAAATTTAGTACTTCCTGGAGTCAACCTGGATTCTCGGAACAACTGATCAGATTCGCTAGAATGTCCATCAATGGATTCATTGAAATTAAAAAGTTCAACTAAATCGGAAGTTTTAAATAACCTACGTTGACGTGGATCTTCTAAAACTTTGTTGGAAAGCAGTACTTTAAATATTTGCCTATGATATATCTAAAACGGAATAATGCGAAACATGTACATTATATATCAAAATCAATAAAATCAATAAATCTGCTCATCACTTTGCAGTATTTCCCAAATTGATTTACCTTCTCTTCAATGGTACCAGCAGTAATGAGTCTATAAATAGTGACGTTTTTACTTTGACCGATTCTCCATGCACGTTCTCTTGCTTGAGCATCGGTCGCTGGGTTCCAGTCTGGGTCATATATGATTACTCGATTTGCCCCAGTTAAATTTACTCCTAATCCTCCAACACGTGTTGTTAATAGAAAGACAAAATATGAAGAATCCTGCATAAAAGAAAAAGATATTACAAAATGACTTTAAACATCAGTAGACCAAATGTACTTTTGTTATCAACGTGCGTACGTCATTAAACAATCTAATTGTCTCCTGCCGCTGTGACATGGGGGTGGTTCCATCCATTCTTAAATAAGAATATTTTTCATGTTGTACCAGAGATTCTAAAATATGCATCATCTGCAAATTAAATTTCACTATTTGTAGTAGATTATGTAACATGATTACCATTCTACAAACAATGGTAAAAGTTACGTACTTGTCTTCCTTGAGTAAATAGCAATGCTCTGTGACCTTGTTTCTTCCAAATTTTAAGAAGAGATTGTACTACTATCATTTTGCCAGATCGTTTCCAATAGCCAAAAGTTTCTAGAGATTCTTCTGACATGTTTATGTCCTCATCGGAATCCTAAACACAATGCTAGTTAAAAATAATCGCGTTGTAGCATCTTATCAACTGTAATTAGTAAAACCTTACAAGTGGAGTTGAATAAACAAATAAATCAGGATGATTGCATATTTTTCTAAGCGCTGATAAGGCTATTAATAGGCGCGCTCTGTATCTTCCTGTTTCTACATACTTCTTTTCATGTAATACAAAAGAAACATCTTCGGAACATAAATATTTTTTATACAGCTTTTTTTGTTCCTCAGTTAAACTGCAGAATAATACCTGAAGTTTAGAGAATACATTCGTTTAAAACTTTGATGAGTTTATGCAATTATAAATCATAAGAAAATATAATTTTGCGAACCTGTTCATTCTTTTCTGGTAAACTAACATGATGCTGAACATCCTGTTTAGTTCTTCTAAGCATGTACGGCGTGATAGCATCTCTGAGCATTGTTGCAACATGAAGAGCAGTAGCTTCCTGCAGAGGACTAGCATTTGCGTACCCTCCACGAGTAATAGGACCTGCACAGTGTTCTAAAAATGCAGGTAAAGTACCTAATTTTCCTGGTAGGATGAAATCAAAAAGAGACCATAGTTCTTTCAAGGAATTTTGCATTGGACTACCAGTTAGCAATAGTCGATGTGGTGTTGAGAATTCTTTTACTGCTTTACTAACCTGCAGTAAACAAACTACTGTTATTATCTGAATCCAAATTTTGTATATTATCTTTAAGTAATTGATTCCAATAAATTTCAGATAAAGTACCTTCGCTTGAGGATTCCTTATTTTATGACCTTCATCAAGAATAACATAATGCCACTCAGCTGACACAAGTATTTGTTTATGATTAAGCATACTAGAATAAGAAGTAACTAATATGCCACCACATTGCAAGGAATGTATTAAATATTCTAGATCACCTATAAAATATTTGCTACTTTTAATATAGAAGTAATATAATTAAAAATTACTTGTACGTTTATTTTTACCATTATAACTTCCAGATTGATGTAAGACAACTACTCTTAGAATAGGCCACCACTCATGAAAATGCTTTACCCACTGTTCCATTAAAGTAGCTGGACAAATGACTATGGTGGGTCCCAATCCTCTAAATCTGTGAAAGCATTAAATAAACGTCCAACTCTTATTATAATTAATAAAGAAGAAAGATATTAAACGTTTCTTACCTTCCACCATCAGAAAGCAACTCACTACAATCCAAACCTGCAAGAAATGCAATAACTTGAACCGTTTTTCCCAATCCCATTTCATCTCCTAATAATCCCCCTTGATTGCGACAATGCAACTCCCAAAGCCACTGTACAGATACTTTTTGATATCTACAAATATTAAAAAAAAAAGATTAGCTTGTTGAAATGAGATATATTTGGTCTAATATTACTTTATTTATACCTATATAATTTTTTCCAAATGGACTGTGGAACTTTAAATAAATTATCTATTTTATGTAGTGATTCATTTTTTGAGAAACTACCTGTCTCCACTCTTTGTTTGTATATTTCTTCATTGCCATCATCTAAAACTAAAAATCAAATATTCTATTAATAGAAATGATGTCTCATCAATGGTAATAAATCTTAAATTAAATTTGAACATAATAAAATTTTGCACATACCTCTTTTAACATGAACAGATTTTATGGAAGATTTTTTTCTCTTGGATGATGGTACTTCATCTTCTATAAATTTTAAAATTTCTTAAACATCTTTGTAAAATAAATTTTAATTAGATTAATCTTAATTTTTACCTGAATCAATTTGTTCATCACTTGGAACATATTCACTTCCAGAATCATTTATTACATCTATAGAATCTTTATTGTCTCTACTTTCAACTGTTTTATTATTAGTATTGTCTTTTGGAATGCTAGAAAAATTAGATATATTTTTTGGACGTTGATTTCCTTTAACTGCTTTATTAACTTCTGTAACTTTTGTACTTTGTATGTCATTATGAATACTATTATCTTTATCTTTATGCAAATGTTTAATTGTTTTATGCTCTGAAGGTATTTTTCTTTTAAGAGATTTACAGTTTGTTTCTTCAGAAATTGTGTTTGATACTTTTGAATTTTTAATAACAATCTTTTGATTTTTATTATTGGATGTCTTTGAGTTTTTTTTTAATTCTTGCCTTTGCCTGCCAAGTTCAGCTTGTTGGCGAAGGTACTTTTCAAGATCTAATAAACTAGATGTTCTATCACATGTTCTAAAAAATGAAATTTTAAATTTAATTTTTAGCACATTCATTTATGTTAACTTATTATTATGTGCATACATACTCATGATTTTCTGACGAATCAGATTGTTTTTTGATTGCTTCAAATGGTGTAATTTCTCCATTTAAAACTTGCTTTTCTAATTTTTGTTGCTTTAAAGAATCTGCAGTACTGCTTTCATTATTGACATCATCATTTAATGCTTCTGATTTCCTTTTTGTTTGTATATTTGTTTTTACAATATTTTCAATTTCTTTTGATGCTTCACATAGAACACTTTCCTCACTTCTTATAGACAAAACCTAATAACATTTTTTATTTATAATAATAATGGAAGAGCAATTAATAAACATTTTTATAAAAGGGGTCGAAAATACGTTTGTATAAATAATAATTAATAATTACAAATTCTGTCATCTTACCTTTTCTGATAAACATTCGTGAACTTCATTCACGTGTATCTGATTTAATCTTTCATTATCAGGTTCCAAATCTTGATCATCAGTATCCATATTTGCAATAAGTCAACGCTTTATATGAATGCATCAAAGTCAGAAAGCAAAAGAAGAAAAGAATGATACGCTACATTTTAATTACTTTAACCACATTTTAATCTTGTACACTATTATCATTATTAAAATATTCTTAAATGAATCAATGTTTACCAATTACATATTATTTACTTTGTTAATCATAATACAATATAGCACACACACTTTTATCTCGCTCAATATATGCAGAAAAATAAAATGTTATCTAAATTCTTTGTGTATTTTAAAATATTATTAGATTGCACTAAAGCGCATCATCTTTTGTGACAGCGATGTGCAGATTAAAATCTCATGGACACCGGCATGCGACTCTTATTATTTTTATACTATAGCCTACTTTTCATTGTCAATGCAATAACATTCCAAAAGTTGAAAATTTAGAAAATTAGGAATTTCGAAATTAAGAAATTTGAGAATTTGGGAATTCGAAAATTGAAAATTTGGAAAATTTGCATATATTATAGTTGTGTACATTTTAACTTGAACGAAGAGAGCGAAACACAAAACCTTCGATAGCTCAGTTGGTAGAGCGGTGGACTGTAGTTGGTACGTAAAGTAAATGGACATCCATAGGTCGCTGGTTCAAATCCGGCTCGAAGGAAATTTTTGTATTTTCAATTTTTTTAACTAAAGAGTTTCTAATTCTTGCAACAATTATTTTCTCACTAGATTATACATTTCTATATCATTATTATTGATTGCATAATTCAATGAACAAATGATGTGATATTTGATATACAATATGTATAATTATAAGGAGATCTAAGGGTATTTACTGATGGGGTGTGTAGACAACTTTTTTGTAAAAAGTAATTAATTATTTTATAAAGTATCTAAGAAAATAATGAATTATAATTGAACCTATAAAGTACTTGTGTAACTATTCATAGTATAATATTGTAAAAGAAAACAAAAATTATTTTTGTTTCGACCGTGACAGGACTCGAACCTGCAATCTTCGGATCCGAAGTCCGACGCCTTATCCATTAGGCCACACGGTCAGTTGTACACCTTTTCCAAAATTTTCTCTATCATGATACTTCTCGTAACATATTATATTATAATACGAAACAATATTCCGTATATTTTATTTCAATCATATTAGAAATGTAAAAAAATTAATATTAGAACCATTTTTCTCTCATAATACACATATATTCTCATAGCACTTAATAATGAATAGATGCGTGCTATTTTTTTATCGAAATATATACTATATCATGATTTACAATTTATAGTTTTTACTATACAATACAAGCCATAATATTTTATTTGCACGATATTCTACAAGTGCAAGTATGTATTTTGTTTTTTAATCTTCAATTTGAAGCTAAACTCTGTTAGATGGCGTTAAACGACCAAAATAAATTTGTTCCTTCGAGAGTGATGGAGTAGCGAATATTCCGAAGTTTGTTTAAAAAATTCATACATGCAAATAAAGTCGCATAAAAATTAAAGTGGTAATAAAATAAAAATTCAAAACAAAAATGTCAAATTTCCAAACTCAACTTACATACGCTTTAGGAAACAGAATAAAGGTTCTTCCGAAATTAAAAAAAGTATTTCTTCGTCCTTTAATACAAAGTAAGTTCACTTTATATATTGTATCTTAAAAACCATAATGATTTATTATTTTGTTTCCACTTACAGTTGCTGTAAAAGCAATAAATCAAGAATACATTGAGAATGGAGTATTAGATAGGATAAGTCAAAAGTATAATGTACCAGAAGAAACAGTGGATGAATATTATTCAGTCATTTTTACAATTTTAAAAATTCACCTAGGTTCATTATCTCAAAATATTAAACCTGCAGAATTTAAGCAAGTATTGGAGGAGCTAAAGTATGTATTACGTTGGATGTATACAGTGTTCTATTAGATTTAATTTTGTAATATATAACAATGCATTATTTGTAGATTATCATCAGAATGCATTGATGATTTTTCAACAGTTGTATATGGTCAAAAACGTACAGAGTTAATATCAGGACTGATAGAAAAGACAAAGTTTTATCCATATATAGTTTCCTGTAAATGGCGCGTAGACATTACTATTTCCTCTAGGTAATTTTGATCTATGATGTATGCTATATATTATTTTGTTATGTAGTTTAATATAAAATGTAGATGATGGATTCTCCCCTATACTTTTGTTATCCAAAGGCAATCTATATTATACATAAGTGTATTTAATTTTTTGTATACTTTTAGCATGTTAAATAGGGTTTTGGAACCACATATTGTTATGGAATGGACATTTAACAATGGAAAACGTCAAATATTTGAATTATCTCTATCAAAGTTTCATCAACTTCGACATGCTGTAGCAACTATACTTATGGAAATGCAAAAAGTTGAACAACAGTGTATCTCAAAAAATATCATGTGCAGTTGATAATTATATACAGGTTAATAACACTTTTTTTTGATACAGTATCATTGTAAAAATAATCATATATGTAACATAGAAAATATTTTTTATAATAGAAGTAGAATTGTAAATAATAATAAAAATAATAATCTATAAAGTAATGCAAAATAAATTATTTTATAATGTTTCACCCTATAGTTTTTAAGTTTTATTGATATGAAAATATTTTTAGACAAACTTTTAATCAATGTTTGAGCAACATATGATATTTAAGTACAAAATGTTCCAATTTTAACACCTAGAGTGCGCAATATCATATGCACTGTATTAGTGCATCCGTTTTGTGAGGTAAAGGAAGAAGACGTTTTCACAAAAATGACGTCTTTATTAAAAAACTGTTGGAGATTATCACGAAGTTTGCCTGTCACCATACCGAAGTGTAAATAAATTTGTATACTAATTCTTTAATTTTTACATTTTTGTATTATGTAATGAATTATAAACTAAATTGATAGGTTATCCAAAACTTCTTCCTTCAATAAGAACTAGCACTACAGACAGCGAGAAGATAGAAAACCGACGTACGTAAAGTTATTATTTATCACGTATGTAATAAATATTTAATATTTTGTATGATAGTAACAAAACAATGACAATTTTATCTTCTTATATTTTTTAGCAGTTTTCATAGTGAAAGTACATCACTTGTATTTGTACATTGTAGAAAGATTTTATAAGGTATTCTTAAATGAATTTGTTAATTTTAATTACAGCAACAATACGTAAAATTACAACAGATGTAGAACAATTAAAAGATTTTGGTCGTTATGTCGCTGAATGTTTACCAAAATATGTACAGAAGGTACAAATAGCAGCTGGTGATGAACTTGAGATATTAGTTTGTCCAGATGGGATTATTCCAACATTATCATTTTTAAAGAATCATCACAATGCTCAATTTGTCAATTTATCAGATATTACTGCAGTTGATGTTCCTAGCCGTACATACAGATTTGAAGTAATGTTTTATATAATTTACTTTAAATACAAATACTTTTATATTTCATGTAAGAAATGATCTATATCTTGTCATTTTTAGCTTGTCTACATTCTCCTGTCATTGAGATTTAATACTCGTATTAGAGTAAAATCATATACAGATGAACTAACACCTGTACCAACAGCAGAACATGTATTTGATGCTGCTAACTGGTATGAGAGAGAGATATGGGATATGTTTGGTGTATTCTTTGTTAATCATTCGGATCTTCGTAGAATTCTTACAGATTATGGTTTTGAAGGACATCCATTAAGAAAAGATTTCCCTCTAAGTGGTTACGTCGAGGTAATTGATTAGTGTTCTTTTTCTATTCCTATGAATTATTTTTTCAAATATATTTAGCAGATAATTAACAAGAGTGTTTTTTTATGTCTAGGTACGATATGATGATGAAATGAAGAGAGTTGTGTGTGAACCATTAGAATTGGCACAAGAATTTCGTAAATTTGATTTATCTGCTCCATGGGAACAGTTTCCCAAATTCCGAGATGCTGGAGCTCCTTCTGAAGAAGTACCCAAAGTTAAATAAATTATAATAGTGAAATAAATTTTATAGTATTAAACAAGATTTATCTCTACAAATTTTACACCTAAAAGAGAAACACAAAAATATAAATGAAGGGGTTAAATATTGACCTTTATTTTGTAGTTTATTTAGCAAAATAGGTAACAGATAATATTATTGTTTATCCCCATAAATAAAACTAATATCAAATAACAATTTATTTAATTTGTTCAATGATACTGATAATATAATTTTATTTATTTTGTTATAAAAAAAGCACATATACGTGTTTTGTATTATTTATTTTACATACGGCATGATATTATAAACGTAATTCATTAATTACAAAGTGCTTATATTTTATTTTTTAAGGCATATTTTTCGGTGAATTATAAACAAATTGAATCGATAACAAAATTGACTGATCCTATCTTTAATGTTTGTGTGTATATATAACAAGGAGAAATACTCAATTTTTTTACAATTGTATACATATATTCTAAGAAAATTGTTCGTGTACTAAATTATATTATTGCATCTTTTTTTAATTACAATAGCACCAACAGCTAGTGCATCATTAAACTAAGTACTTACTCTTTCATGTATGATGTCTTTTAGTACCAATGAAAATTTATTTCCAAAGAATAATTGTTGTCCATGTGTAAGGCAAGATACTTCCAACTTTTGAGAAAAGAGAAATTTTCACATTTCATAAAAATATATATTTTGAAAATTGTTTTCTCGTTAATCCACCCGGAAATACGTGTGCGTGGATCGTATATAACATCATCACAGTGCCAGTGGTATATATGTACATACATAACATTCATTCTAACATCACAGTATTTCATAATTATATTCTTATATAGACTTCAATACACGCTCTATAGATGTAATAATTGTATCCTAAGATAATCATACGACCAAACACTTGTCTTTCGTAAAATACTCAATTCCAATAACCGGATACAAGGTTGAATTGACAGTGAATATGATACCGGGTGAAATCATTATTTGAGACACCCCTTCCAACTTTTTAGTGAAACTTCTGTGCGAAGAAGATTGAATAGAGGATTAATCAAATCTTCAAATTTGTAAGTTTTTAAATTCCTAAATTTTCAAATTCTTTTACCCCACCTACTGAAGAAGTTTCACTTTCAACGCTCACGATGAGCAGTTCTTTTATTAAAATAATAATAGAAGTACTAAAATTTTTGGGTTACGACGTCCCCTCGAAGCGGTGCTCTGAGCCATCACACACTTCGCCCGTAAATTTCGCCGATATTGACCGGAGACACTATAATTTTTCAATTGAACTTTCCTTCTCTAAACTGTCCTGTTTCTTTCTAATAAACGGAACAAATCCCCACAAAGACGCTCCTACTACTAAAATGATTCCTAAGATGCTAAAAATCGGACCGTAGCTCCCGATCTGTTCAAACACGATACCACAAATAGGTGGACCAATGAGCTGTATGATTCCATTAACGAACAACGAAATCCCATAAGAGGAAGTTAACTTCTCAGTTCCTAACATGTCAGCCATTATAACCGCGGTGATACCGACATATATACCGGAAGCTAAACCAAAAACGCCACAATAAACCGACAACATACTGTAGGTAGTTGCTATAGGCAAAAGAGCTAAGGAGATTCCAGAGACGAGCAATCCTCCAACGAAGTACCAGTGCTTTGGCATTATTGAGACATCGGATAGAGCTGAACCCCCGATACGTCCTATTAAATCTAGAATTGAAACGGTCGAAAGAAGAAGGGAAGACATGTTTTTGTCGAAGCCTAATGAAATCGCGTACGCTGGCAACAGTATAACGAAGTTGGTGTAACTAACAGCGTTGGTAGAATTCGAGATTAATATAACCAAGTAAATCGGGTCTTTGAGTAAGCTGAAATCGAAGAATTTGTTCCCTGACTTCTCTTCGTGCTTGCTCGTTTCGTCGTTGGCCTTCCTGGTGAACGTGCTCGATATCGCGTTCAAGGTCAACGTGGACGCTCTTTCTGGATGCAAAGCGGACAACGTGCTCCCGTGATACGGCGTGCTAACGTAATTGAACGACGACGTGCTGGGAGACTGGAAGGGTGATCTCTGGCGCTTGAACAATCTGTTGGCATCGGCACCACGTTCTGGAACAGCGTGCAGCGCTGGAGTACTATGCATCTGGCCAGCTATCTCTCGTCCTGTTGGCATGCTGATCTTCCTGGTTCTCCCTTGAACCGGCGTGTTCTTGTAATATTCTAACGCAACGCTGGACGCACTCTTTGGTACTATGGGTGCAGCCTTCTCGTTCGAATTCGAGGAAGAAACAACCTGTTTCGGTTGCTTCTCGTCTTCGGGACTAGTTACCGTGATTGATGCGGCTTCTAAATCGTCGTCGTTCGACTTGTTTGTTCGTGATGCCGGCACCATGTGCTTTTCCACCGGTTCGTACAAAAGAGCACTCGCCCATACATTTAAGGTGACAGCACCCATTATTAATACTGCACCTCTGTAAAAAAGTAAAATCAATTTTAGCGTTTCATTCGGTTCATCGAGACGATTGATATGGGCTTACAATATTGTCATCAGGGTATTCCGTGACTGTTGAGATAAGAAATCGAAAACAAACGTTAGTGGAACACAGCGTGGCTTCAGGGACGGCTTAACAGTAAAATATGATAAAGGGCGAAACCATTTTTTTGGCGCACACTTCTTAATTTTTTAAGCGAAATTTATGTAAGTGATTGCAGTGAATATGGGACAACCTTAAGAAATTTTGTTTTCTAAAGTAGACATGACTGATCAACGAAAATTTCCAAATCTCCAAATTAAAAAATTTTTAATAATCTGGAAGCGAGTCCGCATAAGGCCTGAAGAGGCACTTGGTCATGTCTATTATAAGGCACTTATCTCTCCCATACTCACAGAAGTTTCACTTCTAACAACGGCGCCCCGGGCTTTGCCCGTATATTCCGCCAACGTTGTGTGGCTTCAAAGTCAATTACATAAAAATAAGCGCTTGAACGTTGATTTTGCTAACCCTTACTAAATATATTATTTAAAAAAAATGTTATACTTAAACTATATCGTCAGTATAATTATGTCAATATGGATTGGAATAGGAAATACTTTCAAATACATATAATGACGAAATGAAAACAATTCAAAAGATAATAAATACAAGCGTTTATAAAAAACGCTTTATTTTTTATATTGCTTGCATATCCCTTACATAATTGAAACATGTTATAAAGTACCATGTTTCATGGCATATAAATTATAAAAAAATGAAATATAAAGGTTATTTTTAAGAATTACAAGTTCAGAAATATAATTTGATAATGCTACTTAAAAAAGATCATGTATCACAGATGTTACCAGTTCATTGACAATAACATACTTTTGATTTTTACAGTCACATAATTTTCATAATACTAGATCACATATTGTACATATTATCACAGACAAATCATTACAAATAAAGTCTTATATATTCCCAGATATATGAGACTTATCCTAATGAAGATTTTAATTGAATGACTCAATTGAATTCATTGGATATTACACAGGTGTTTCATAGTCTGGACCGAAGATTCGTATTCCAATTGGAACAGACTATGACATACCCAGTTTGTGCGTCAATCTGAAACTTTACGATTCAAACATGAATAAACAGTAGGTAATTCCGATGCGTTCGTTTAAAACATTAACTCAAAGTATTAATACGAAATAGTATTTGAACATTTCTTCGAACATTAACGTTACTGATATTGAAATTATAAAATGATATTTTTAGCATGTGTTTCAGATCGCGTACAATATTCTGCGGTACGATAGAAGTTCATCTTCTTCGAAATTGCATTTTGTCCCTGTCTTCATCCATGGAACACATTTTTCTGTAACAAAAGAAAAAAATAAAGGGACGCTTAGACGAGCACAAAGTTAAATTTTACTTGAGCGATAATACTACAAGTCATAACGGAAGTGTGTTTGATTTGTTACGTATAAAGATTCCACATTAGGCAAGTAAACATTACATGTTTGATACACGACGCGTGCAAACTCAATTATTATAAAGACTATAAATTGTCGTTGCGAAAAATCATTTCGATACAACACTTGTCTTTCGTCACTGCAAAAGAAAACTTTGAGAATTAAATACTGATAAAACACGATATTGAAGACTGACTTACATTAGGCGCAACGCTGACCTATTAGTCAACCAAACCGTACGACAACATTGTATGCAAACATTGCATATCGTTGAAACTAAGAAAAAAGAAAGAATTGTATTCGTGTGTGTGTGTGGTGTAAACATTGATGTAACTAGAATTTTTGTCTAAGAGTAAACCAAGTTCAACTTTTACAACTTCATCAGACATGATGAAATAACTTTTAAAGTTGTAACTTTCCTACGTTTCACACGTTCTTTATGCTACATGTGACACATTTTGAGTAAAGGTCTACCCTGGTATCTAGTTACACCAATGTGTATAAACCAAGGACATTAGTAGAAATCGATTAAATAATAATAAAAGTAAACAAATATTTTGTTACATGTCAGCTATCACAGCGTTCAATAAACAAATTGAAGCGGATAACGAATTGGAGTTATCTTAATTCCTTTTTCTAGTTACGACATACTAACACACGACACGTGAGCATCACGCATTTGTCACATATACTTTGAACGTCAAAACGTACGTTTCCGCAGTTCTCACGCGCGTGGTTGATTATGTATGCACATACAAACAAAACGGGACGTGCATATAATTTCTTTTAACTAAACTTTTTTGTTAGTTCAGCAATTCGTTTTCAAAGAGACAAAATAAAATATTGCTTTCGTGTACATATACGCATGTATTTCGAATAAACGTTTACACTTTTATTCTAAATAATGGTATGTACTTTCATTTCGATAGTTTAATTACGCAAAAATAGAACGGATTAAAGGGCAGTGAAATCTTGCTATATGGCTCTTTTCTACATATAAACGAGTTCTGGTTATTTAGCCCATTCTATAATTTTGTCAGTTTCTACAAACCTGTGTAGGGCCATATAGCGAGACTGTACTGTGTCGTTTACACTGACGATAACTGGAGGGTATCGCAACTTGACGGTGGAAGGATTGTATCCAAACTTTAAATAACCACCCGGGAACTCGTCTCTATCATCGTGGAGAAAAATCATCACAGTTCAATATATCATGTAATCAGGTTTACTCGTTCCTTTTATATTGTGGTCTCGGCGTAGTTGCGTCTATTTTAAAATCAAGCGTTAAAATACAATTGTTGATATATTGTGAGAGAACGTTGTACAACTCTGTATAATAAGTATGAAAATGTAAAAAGACTATGTTTAACGAAAACGGATTCTTACCTAAAACAATTCAGAAGCATCAAAAATGTTATTTGCGGATGAAGACTTCTCGAGTTAATGTGAAATTGTTTCTGCTTATAATATTAATGTTAATTGGTAATGTTTCTTCGACACCCGATACGATCATCAACATACGATACACACTTCTTTACACATGAATATTCATACATTACCGTACGAGTGTCGAAGAGTTAAATTTCGTTATCTTGAATGATAACACACGTTTGATAGAGAAGCTGTAAAACAGCTATAGAAATTGTAATCGCCATGTACATAAATGTACACGCGTGATTTATCTCGGCATCGTGTGAAAGGAATTCTGCACATGCATGATCAATCATAGTCAAATTTAATAAATTGTAATAATGATTTATAAATACTCACCAGAAATAATCTTCACAAAATATACAAACTTTCTACGACAATAACACTTTATTTACAGATCTTCACGAGAACGAGAAGATGCACGTGATAATACACAAAATCTTGTACTTTTTAAAACACATTCAATATCACAAATTGCACAAAAATTAGAGAGAATTACAGATATATTAAATTTTGTTGAAATCAAATAAAATCAATATACTAAAGCATATCTTAATTTATTATTTTAGTTATGTAATTAAAAACAGAAGCTAAATATAAAGATATGAAAATAAATATTATTAAATAAACCAAAACAAAAATTTAATTTTTAATTTCAATTATTTATCATAGATTTTTAGTTTAATTTTTTTTTGATAATTACGAATTCATTTTGTAAGAAATAAAGCCACACCTATTTATTCAAAGACAGAATTAAAAGGACATACCTGTAACCATATTCTCGTAGTAGAATTCCTAGGATAGGTGGAAGGAAAATTGAACCTAATGCACTACCAGATATACACAGTCCATTTGCAAGTCCACGTAGTCGTACAAAGTAAGATGTTACAATATACACAGTTGGAGGGAAAGCCAAACCAGCTCCTATTCCAACCAAGACACCGTAGCTAAAGATAGAAGAAATAATTAGCTTATATGTTTATATTTAAAGAGATATAATATTTCCATATTTGATATTTCTATTATTACCTAACACACAGGAAGGCCACAGAATTTGCAAAATAACTTAGCATCATTCCTGCAGCTGCAAATGTTCCTCCTAATAGAGTTACTGTTCGATAAGAATATTTAACTGATAATATACTGGAGAGAGGCCCTGCAATATAATTCACAATATAATTCAAATTTAATTGTAAATAACAATTTTATTTTAAAGATACTAATATACAAAATTATGTTTTACCAAGTGAACTGTATAGAAAATAACATAAGGCTGGTATCCATGCAGCTGCAGCAGGTGATGCATCAAAAACTTCAAGAAATTCAACAAAAAGAACACCAAAAGATTTCACTGTTCCTGGGATAAGTAGATTGACCATAACAGATGCTAATAGCACAAGCCAGCCCCATCCTCCATCTGGTGGAACTAAGTCTTCTTCTGCTGTTACCTTTTTAACTAAAACATAATATATTACTTGTAGTAAATTTTGTTGGCATAGATAATGTAACACATTTATCTTTGTTACATCCGTATATTTCACAATGAAATAATAATTTAAATTGTAAAAATACTACATATTATATTATGTTCACATTATCACTTTTATCTCTCGAGTGCACTTAAATGTCAGAGATAAACACTGGACTTTTTATTTGGAAGCACATTAAAAATAATTTTTAAACAAAAAAATCTTTGATTATTAGTTTCTAAAAATAACATTTTATAAATACTACAATTTAAAACTTATAAATAATTTTTAATACCAAAAAGTAATTTTTACTATTTTTCTTTTATTTTATATATATTCAGATTGATCTCTTTTTCAATCTCACCAACTTTTAATTATTCAAAGTTTAAATTTTAAACAAAAACTAAATCTGCACATTAACATTTTATGTAAATGTTATAGCAGAGTGATCATGAACTATGATCAGCAGACACTGATCCAGAGCAGAATAATTGAAGTTAAAAATTGGGCTATTTTGAACATAATTTATAGTTACAAAATAATAAATTAAAAATAATTAAAATAAATAAAATTAATTTTTTTTATGTGCAGTTTGAGTTACTAGTGCAATTTTTATGTTCTTAAGTATTATTAATTGTTTAAAAAAATTGAACATAAATAAAAAATTCTTTATCAAATGTTTTTCTTTCTGCCATCAACGTCTGAAAACCTTGCATTCAACAAAATCTTAAATACAAACATAAACGTCGCGTTGTTCTTTAAAAAAAAAATAAATGAATGAATGTCTTACCTTGTTTATTGGTCCCATTGAAGTTACTTTTCTTCTCATTTTCCGTATGTTGTGACACAAGCCTGTAATCCCCTTTTTTGTTCTTGTTTGCTCCAAACTTGATGTTAATTCCATTGTCTTGATCTTGGACTCGTTGCATTGTCATCGACCTTTTCTTTTTCACGTTTACACTCGCGCGCGCGCGCGCTTACACATGCACCCCGTATATAATTATACAAAGTAAAAGCAATCGTGCTGTTGCGAAGAAAAACCCAATGCACGATAACGATTCGTGTGTGAATTAATAAATGCAATGTAAAGACAAGCGAGGAACAGCTAGCCGATATCCAGCGAAGGATTGCAACATAAAATAGATATATATATGTATATATCGTGAGCTACGACTGCACCAGTATCAATGTTCACAAACTGCAGGATCAGCAGTCGTGTCCTCCTCAGCGATTGCCTCGGACTTCATCAATTTGAATCTAATGCCGTTTACACCTACGTTACTGTGGCTTTTTCTACTCCTTTGATAAGGCAGGCCCCGTGAATCGGTCATAGACCTTCCGCGCGTTAACGATTTTCTTCGAAAAAGGGAAAAATATCTACGATGTAAATGACCCGACGACGTCACGAACTGCAGCCCGCAGCGCGTTGATGTTGTGAGCAATTTCACTGGGCCAACACCTCCGCCCGTTCCTCTTGATTTCGACGCTTTGTCAAATTGCATAGAGCACGTGAACAATGGCATGTATGCACACGAAATGCTTATACGCGATGGCTTGCTGTCATCCCGAGTAAAAACCCTCACGAATACGCCCCTTCAAACCAGATAACAACCACACGACTTGCCTGTCACGGAACGACTGATCAGCTGTGTATTACGCAGACCCGTTTACCACTACTTCGAGTCCTGTTCCCCACTACGCCCACGTCCTTCCCTCCAGCATTCTACGGTTCCCCACTCTTTCTTTTTTCAATGGTGTCCTCTCTATCTCTCTTTCCTTTGTCTAGCCATCCTACTCTATTACCTTCTATTTCAGCGATTCTCAACCCTTTCCACAACCTTGGATTGCCAAAATCAAACTTTAAACATTACAGTGCCATCAAGCATGGCGTCAGTGTATAATGACAAGCATGGCAGTCTTCTCTAGGGAAAATGGCGGCGCGAGAAAAAGAAGCTTCACTACTCGTTGGATTTTGATTGGAAAATTAAAAATTGACAAACTGCCAAACTAAGAAATATAAGGGTTCGAGAACTTTATGATTTTAAAATTAGAAAAGCTACCGATTTGAAGATTTAGAAATATACGAATTTGAAATTTGGAAATTTCAAATTTGAAAATATCAAATGTAGAAATTCAAAATTAAGGACCTAAAAATGAAAAAGTTTGTGACTTTGAAAACTTCCCTAGTTACGCCAATGTGTATCCACCTCCTCGACGCGCATCGCTTATTGAGAACCGCTGTTCTATTGCACGCGTAGAAAGAGGACGAAGGAATAAGGAGAATGGAAAATTTATGACAAACACAATGGCACGAAGCAGGGGACCGATTTCTGTGTGGCTGAACGCCATACGAATTTGATATTTGTCGCGCACAACGGCGTCCCACTTTAGAATAGAGAAATCGAGGTAGGAAAAACAACATGAACACCGATAAGCCTCGTGGTGCGATTATATCGAATGGCAATCACGAAAAATGTTTGCTATCGCCACAAGGGATCCCAGCTTTGAGCTTATCGCGAAAAGGTAAATTTCGAAGCGACTCATCGGTAAGTTTACTCACCTCTTGAAATATGGTATTAACTAACGATCCTTTTCGAACATCCCAGAACTAATTTATGACGTTCTAAATAATCGATTTAGTCTATGAGAGGTTTCAGAAAGATAAAAAAATTATTCATTTCTTTTCTATCTCTCCGACACAACATATCAACGTTGTAAATATCTTTGGAACAAGTATACGGAATTTGAAAATTTCCAAATCCCTAAATTTGAAGATTTGAAATTTCCATGGGTGTCCGTGGGCTTCGATGGGTTCTCGACCTCCCCTTTAAGGCTCTACCTGAGGTATTAATAGTATGAAGGTGACTATACTGAAAAGTTATATTGAGCTGTAAGATCCTTTGAATATTCTATATACATTGTAAATATATAAATAGTAATAAAATTTACTTGATTATCAATGCATAACTTTCTAATAAAAAATATGTTTTATGTGAAATATTTAAATGTATTGCATCAAGCATTTTTGAGGCGACTCATGTGAAACAAGAAACGACCAACAGAAATCCACGCAAACAGTTTTGATGCAGTGTCACTGCACAACTATGTGGCGGAGAGATTCTATCGTTTCAGTCATATCGCGGATTCATTGTACCATGTGTTTGTCAGAGAAACCATTATGCGTACTTTTGACGATGAGTGTTCGACGAATTGTGACGAAACATTTGCGATAGAATGAAAACGATAATTAATCCTTTTTCTCTCCACTAAATGATAATCAAATTACTTTCTGGTCACAACATATTATTATAATTTTTTCGATCAGAACTTTTGAAAGTAAAACTGATTCCAAACAAAGATGCAGTATCAATTTATCAGTGATCCAAATAATTTGATGAGAACAAGCTTTCGAAATTATCGTCGAATCGTTAGATTTTTAAAACGCTTTCTCAATCAAGTCAGATGTTCTACATTTTTGTTTTTCGAGTACACACTGAATTGAACACTTCATTTTTATCACTCGTATGGAATGTTTACGTGATAATCGACACATCCTTCATACCGATGTAACAGATCTATATTCTGAATCTACAGAATTACGATAAGCATATTTGAGGTGTTCCATATACTAGAAAACACGGAATATATATAATTTTAATTTATAGGGTAATATTACATTTCGCGGTAAATTCAAACATGATAAAAACCATCCATAAAGATGGCTATTGATTTCGTCGAATAGTCTGATTAACTGAACAAAGGAAAAAAATACTCAGTAGGAAAACACGTGTTTATCTAGTCTAGAGAAGAAATTAACCTCTTTATATGAAGGATATTTGATCATACGTAGTTGTGAAAAGTCGTGGACAATATAACAAGGTAATTGCTGTGCATCGCAAATTAACTTGAAACGTGCAATTGACAGCAGTAACTACACGCATGACTCAGTCTATATTTGTTCTTATTAAGCATCAATTGGTGTTGTGATGACAGTTATAAGAAGGATGATGCACAAGTCACCGAACCGGCTTACTTCTCGAATTTACGCGTGCACGCAGAGTATCCATATTAATCGAACCTGAGTTTTATTCTTGGAAATCATGCTTCGAGAATGTGTATAATCCCGCTACGGATAGAGATACAAGAATGCGTGTAAATATTTGAACGGACAATCACAGCTATGAGGAAACTACAATGCCTTCGTGCTTTAATATTTCTTATTGTATTATAGTGATCGCTCACGCTACGCGAAAAGAGATATTCTCGCGAAAACGTTGGACAATAATCGTTACATGATGCAACCGAACCATTAAACATGTTAATAAATAAATTCATTTAGTTAATAGTATGATTTTTTTGTACATATCAGCGGTTACGATTTTGCACTAACTGTCTCTCGTTTAATTATATTTTTTGCGGAAATTGTTCGTACAAAATATTCGTAGACTATGAAAGATAAGACTATTAGATGAAAACTATGAAATTGTTATGATGATATATGACTTTATCTAATTATTTAAATATTGTTGTGGCGTTTGAAAGAACGATATTTATCAATAAAAGGTGATATCTCCAGCTTCCCTTTCCCTCCCGCCGGTCATTGCGTTAGTACGTTGTTGATGGCGTAATGAGTTCGAGTTAAAACAAGATGTACAAATAGAAATGCTTCTGTCAACACTGTAAATTGCCACTGAAATACTTCATTTGAGACAAGTATTCATGTCAACAAAAATATTTGTTGCTTCAATCACGCACGTCTTATTGCAGCAAATTGCAACTAGCAAAACTTAATTGCTAAATTGGATGGATACATGTATAGTCTTGTTTTCAGAAAATCAAGAACTGATTAATGTTGAAAGAATACTCAACAGCAATGAGAAGATATTTTGTGATATGATTTTGTGAAATTTGGATAATAATATTATGATCTGTAAATGAACATTTTAATTTAAACAACTTAGTTAAATATATTTATTTCTGCCATAAAAGAAAATATGACATAGCAAAGTATGTCTACATAAAGCTCTAAATATATTTTAAGGTACAATGTTTCCAATATAATCACAGTTCATAGTTTGTGAAACTTTTAAATATGAAGTATTTAGTGGCTATTAATAATTAGCACTACTCTTCACAGTTGCTTAGAAGATCAGAATCATGCTTTATTTGGAGAGCTATCTTTCTTTTCTTTTGACTTTTGCTTTTGTTTTATATTGTAATCTGACAAAGCAGCCTTAATAGCATCTTCTGCAAGCACTACAATATATAAAACAAAAGGTTAGGCACTATACTTATTTTAATCAGGAATAATTATATTGAAAGGTGCAATTAGATAACTGCAAAATTTACAATCAAGAAATATGGTTCATATTTTCTTTACTTTCATTTGAATCTACTAAACTGCATAAAACTATCTTAAAACAGTTCTTAAAAATGTAAACTTATATCTAATATCGTTAATGTAACAAGAAACTCAACATATCTTAACAAAACATATTACTTACTCGAACAGTGCAGCTTGACAGGTGGTAAGCACAATTCTTTAGCAATGTCAGTATTTTTTAATGCCAAAGCTTCATCTACCTGTAAAATATATCAATACATTGTACATTTCATGAATAAAATTATAAGAAAGTATAATAGTACTTACAGTCTTTCCTTTAACCCATTCTGTAGCTAACGAGCTAGAAGCAATAGCAGAACCACATCCAAAAGTTTTGAATTTTGCATCTATGATCTTTCCTTTCTCGTCAACTTTAATCTGAAGCTTCATTACATCACCACAGGCAGGAGCACCTACAATGCCTGTACCTACTTGATTATCATCTTTATCTAAAGATCCTACATTCCTTGGATTCTCATAATGATCTATTACCTGCAAAATAGTAACAATAATATAATAAAAGTAACATGTCAAGATCTACAAGATATATGAAAATTGCTAAATATAGAAGATGTGACATATAACCTAATATTACCGGAAAACGCAAAATATTTATCATGTCATTTTTAAAACGTTTTGTCGCAACAGTACAATTATAGATAATTAAAATATGAAGGTCAAACGTGCTATATATACTTTCTCATAGTAGATATTGATTATTGAAAGCAGTGGAAGAAATTCGTCGCAAGTACTAAGGATCAGAATAATAAATACTTACATTTGGATGATAAAATACAGCTGGAACACTCCGGGATATTAATTTCGAAGTGTTGCTAAGTCTCGTGGGTAATGATCGCAGTAAAGACATCGTGTTTATTTGTGAAGAAACATCGAGCAACCAAAACAACACCCGTCACCTTCCACAATGCTGAAACAATCGATTTTAATTTAAATTATGCACATGTTTAAATGTTGGCAATATGCAGAATTGGTAGCCCTGTTTCAATTTGGTCTCGCGTTACGCATATCTTGGCTGATTCAAGAAACTCGTCGTTAGCGTAATGTGCGCTTACTTTTCGCTTCGTATTCATATATACGGTGAATAAAAACATATGGATATCGAAAAGAAATTATAATGTAGGAGTATACTAAATAAAAGATCACTGGATATACACGTTAATGTCATATATAAATGTCAGTACGGCTGCGCACTATCTCTAGTTACAATGCATACAGAACCAATCGCAACCATATGCGCCGCAGAAAACTCGTTATCTAGGGATTTTCGTAACGAGGATTCAAATGAACTTTTGATTCAATTTTTGACTTATATCTTCATAATCAATCCACGATGAAACGATAATGAAATATAGTCGTTACAAAACAAATATTATTTCATTACATGCATAACACTGCTCAATTTCAAGTATACTACATGTAATGTATAAGTCACATAAAAGAATTACGCGTCTCTAACAAAAAATGAGAATACAGTGATAATATCATGAAAGAATTCGTAACTTGACGATAGATGTTTTATAATTGTCATAAAAAAATGTTGGTATTACACAACACGTTCAATTGGTAAAAGACCTTGATTACTTGTTTGTACGAGAAAATGTGCTTTAAACTGATCTTATGATATTATCGCAATAAAGTTATTAGTGAAATTACGTACCTTACATTTTATCTTTCATGATAAAGTAACAAGAATTTCCTGAAAACGGCAAATCCGTTTATTTGATATTAGCCAGATAAAAGAAGAAGAATGCAGAAAAAGGAAACAAATGATCTTAAAGTATGTAACGGATGGACACAAAAATGGATGTGTCCAAAGAAGATTCAAAAAAATAACGATCTCTACATACGCGAGATAGTACGTGGACCATTTTCTTCGCCTAAGTTATTAGTGTCGCAACCATTTATCGAACTTTCGACTTGTCAACGACAAGCTGTAAATGTTAATGAAAATCGCAACGATCTACGACACGGCATTCCAAATGCTTGGAAAGAATATTTAGCTAGAAAGGGATACTGCAATTCAATAGAAACACGTGTTCTGCAGAAAAATTTAATACCTTCTTACGTTAGATCTTTCGCCACTGACAGGATATGGAACGAGTTAGGTTTACCTCTCGTGCAAGGCATCCCTGACCCATGGAAATGTAAATTTCTTTTTCAGAGGCGATCCGTTAAATGTTTACAACGACGGTGCGCTTACAATAACAAAATTTCCGCGCAAATTGCGTGTATTTATGACGGAGACGATGAAGCAGAAATAGAACACAGTGCAAAGAGACAATTTAATAAAGATCGTGATCCGCACCACGACGAAAATAAAGAATTGTTTTCTTCGCGGATAAAAAAAATGGCGCCTGAAAAGAGTAAAAATAATTTCAAGAAAGTAAAGAGCAATATATCGAAACTCGATGATGAGTCACCGATTGATAAAAATTCAACAGGGATTCAACATGGAAGGCCAATGCAAAAATTTAAAAGCGATTTTAGTACAAAAAGAAATGTTTCTACCTCTCAGACTATTAATTGCGTGAAAAAGGAGGCAAAATTTACACAAATGGATGTGATTCCAATAAAAAAAAAATTAGGTAATGAAGAATCGTTTTTTGAACAAATATATGAAACTTTGTAATTAGTATTTTTCAGTCAGTGTGAATATTTAAAAATCTGTGAATTAATAAAAAAAGAATGTTCTCTCTATTTCAGTGCAGACACCAAACAAATACATAGATACAAGAACCCAAACTGAAAATAATCGTAAGAAGAACGTTCAAAATATTGTTTGTTGCAATTGCACCATACCGAATCACGTCTATTCAAATATAAAAAATTGTCCTCAGCGTGCAAGTTCTTGCCAACAGCTGAACGCATCGAATCTCGTACTCTGTCAAAATTGTGAAAATATTTTTTACAAAAGAGATTCTCAAGTAAATAACACCATGAAAACGAAGACTACGTGTGTACGTAGCTCAAAAAATATCGGGCAATATAAAACTATGAGTCAAAAAAAGTCTGATAAACGAAAGAAACGTAAATGGTCTGACTGCTTTAGAAAAGGAAAAACGTGGTTTAAGCAGGAAAATCTTATCGATGCAAAAAGTAAGATCTGTTGTGAACAAGATCTGAAGCTTGTTTGCGGTCGATGTAATAACCCTTATCTCAAAATTGCGTCCTTACGTGCGACTGTCTCCGATCAAAAGACAAATTTGTGCAGTTGCAAAAAGGAAGAAGAAAATGAAATTAGAAATGCCATTTCAAAACATTCCATGACGCGGAAACAAAGCGACAATATCGTTCGATGTTGCAAGAATTACTTATGTACGTGGACTGAAAGCAAAATGTACGTTTCCAGGGAAGACCTTGGCTGGACGCCATGTTCGATTAAATCAGGAAATAATGTGTTAAAGAAAAATAGTTGCAATGATGATGTAAACATTTCAGCAATGAATTCAGAAATTAAGGTAAACCCAGAAGATGGCGATCAAATCTGTGTTGAACATCGTGTCATTGATAATCCTAAAAAAAAGATAATTTCAAAGAATATGATGCACAGTCGGTCATGCATCGACGGTAGCAAAGGAAATCATCTGTTGGAAGGTAATCGTTATAATGTTAAGAAGAAGACTATAAAAAGGGGAAACAAAAACATCACTAATACAATGTTCGTTGAAGGAAAAGATAATATTACACAATTTCAACAGGTAAGATTCGATCCCACATTGCAGTACGTTGTAACTGATAGTGGTGAGTATGCGGATGTATCAGATAATTTTATAGATGATGACACTAATAACTCATCTCAAGATAGATTGTCAGTCACTTCAATAACTTTCATGCGACAATTGAAAAATGCAATTCCGATAAGAAAGTTGTATCGGAAACGCAAATTACGGAAAATTTACCGTTTTCGTCAAAAAATGTCGAGAAATAATATGTTTGATTTTGAACAGGTTTCAAACATTGAAGACAACATGATGAATGATAATAAAAATGATCTTGATTGTGATGTATTGTACTGTTCTGAACTTGTTAAAGATGATAACAGCGAAATTGAAAGTTAATAGAAAAATATGCTTCAAGGGATTATCAATTGATTTAACAATAAAGTTCGATAATTTTAGATTAGTAATAAATTAAAACTTGAAAAATAATTGAACAACTATTTTAAGGACACTGATATATAACCGAGGTATAATATAGAAATTTATAAAATACATTAACCTAATTTTCTATAAAAAAAAAAGTAGTATGTTAACGATTCCATTAAAAATAAATAAGATTTTAGTAAATAAAAATCCTTTTCAGTAGTCCTGATGTAAACTTTTTAATATGAAAGTAATTTAATATAAATTATTTTTCGATTCAAATTTATTAAAAAATGCAAAGCAATTATTTGATAAGTACATATAATTAATTACATTTTAATATTAGAATATCTAATTTTACTAATACAAAAATATATATCTTATAAGTATATTGTTAGTAATACTGTAACAAAACAAATTTCAAATAAATATTAATTGAATTACAATTACCATTTATCAAAATGTCGAAAAATACTTGAGTTTCAACATTTGTTTACCATATGATACACTTGAATATGTACTGACACTCATATTTAAAAAACTAATCGTAAAATTTTATTTAAATAAATTTACACAGTTCTTAGGTTATATTTTTTAAACGTATTTGAATATATGAAACAACATGCACAAACACTTACAACAAAATATCGTGATTAGGTTATATGGTTAATTGTCTTTCACCGCCATCTGTCAATTGGAGTACAAATTATTTCTTATTGTGTTCCTTTTATTCATTACGACTGTCATTACTTATTAGCGTGATGCTGAACGAAAGAAAAAAATATTTGTTGTTACAGTGAGAGATCAGAAAATGCATCTTCACCGACCCAAAATCTATTTCTGTGCTGTGATGTCATTATTTAGTGTTATGGTTTAACGATATACTTTCTTAGATATATTTTTCAATTGTAAATAACCTTATTTTTAGTAAATGTTTTTCAAATAAATGGAATATGGCAAAGACTAAAACAATTAGTAAAGGCTGCCCAAAATGTGAACTGCAGGTAATTTTATATAATTATTCTGCTGATTTAAATTAAAGCAAAAAATTAGCAGATAATAAAATACATTAGAAAACTTTTTAATTATCATAATATGACATTTTTTAAATTACAAATTTTAGTATCGTCGTTAATATATACATTATTCCTGAATTTAATATAATTTTTTTTAATATTTATAATTTTGATACAAATTCTTAACAAAAAATCAATAATTTTAATAAATGATACATGTTTAAACCATAAAGTGAATTTTTTTGTTGAAAATTAAATTTCAATTTTGTATTATATTTTAAAATGTTTATTTTATACTTCTGAAATATATTATTATATTATTTTAATTTTAGTAAGGTACAGTGAAATAAATATTTATTTATATTTATACAGGGTGTTTCTGTACAGGTAGTACAACGAGGCACGAGTGATTTTCTTATGAGCAAATAAATGGAAAGTATAGTCAATAATATCATTGTTGGAATTTGTTCATAACATGAGAAATGCAGTTATTAATTTATAACAAATTAATTTTTGAACTAACAAAACAGCTATTGAAATTATAATCTTTTTTACTGCTATAATTTTGAAGAATTTCTTTGAGTCCTAAACAAGGAATCATTATTATGTATTTTCTATTTATTTTTCATAAAAATTCTGCCTGTACCTGGTTGTATTATCTATACTAAAACAACATGTATATAAACTTCATAAATTTATGTATCAAGGTACCTGTTGCGTGCAAAGCATGTCCATGTGGGCATTCATTTTTCAATGCAAGGCGTAATTCAATTAAAAGTCCTCCTAGTCCTGATAATGGAGTAATGAAAACTAGGCAAACTAATCGACCCAAACAGAAACCAAATTATTACGATTCATTAGAGTATGATAAACAATCAAAGAAAAGTGCAAAAGTAAGATATTTATTTAGGTAAATTTCCAACTATGTATTGTGATAGTCAAAATCTATGAAAGATTTTAATCACCATAGATAAGAAAAGCGACAGATGCTGCTAGCGACATAGACTGCAGACAATTAAATAAAAAGAAGAAACGAAAAGGAAAAACTAAAGGTAAAAATGGATGTAATAATGGAATGGCAGATGACGATGATGAAGTGCAAGGAATTAACGGTTTATCACCGGAGAAGCAGCTCACGTGCACTTTAATACTACAAGAATTAAATAACAAAATGAGAGTTGTAGCCTGGAAACCGACGTAATTTTTCTACATATTCATATATCTCTTATCATCAGAAATACTAGCATTTATTACTAATTGACTCTGATGTAATCATTTTATATAGATATTAAATGGCGTGTTTAATACGTCTACCAATTGCATCGTGAACCATTTAAATGCTATTATATGATTTTATGCATGAATTAATAGGATCAATTCATACAAGTAATACATAATTTTTTTAATGCAAGAGTAGATTCTATAAACTGATTTTAATTGTAAAAATTGTGTACACTTTGTGATAAAAAAAATTTGTACTTCATTTTTTATGGTGATTTTTAGAGTATGTAAAGTTTCTCAAGTATCAATTTGTATATTGATTTAATTTTCTTTCAGATAGAAAAATTAAAACTATTTAAGTGAAAAGAATATAACTTTTATTAAAGATCACTGTGTTTAATTACATCTGTTTGTATGAAAAATATGTATTTCCTACTAAGACTGTTTCTTTCGTCGCAGGACCTGCCGCAATTCTTCGTTTTCTACAAATAACCATAACGTAACATGTAAATACAATGTATATAATGTTGACGTAATACATAAGGCAAATAACAAACTGTAAACCAATTTTTTTTAGAAGCAATTCTTTACAGTGTATATAGTATATATGCGTAACAATATTTGCCCTACATCGTTCGTTTTCACTTAATTGTAAACGGTGTAAATGAGAAGATCTATTTACCAATAAAACGAGAGAGACTTGCATTTATAAAAATTTATGGAAATCACCCTTACCTGCCGCGAATGAGGTATTTATCGTAAAACGTTACGAATACATTGAACCAAGCAATACATCATAGTGGAATAATTGTAGCGACAAATGTTGCGATTTATTAGTTTTCTATTACACATTCAATCACATTCGCAAAATATCTTATTCTTTCACAGTCGTCTCTCCTTGACAATTACTGTTCTCAGCGTTAACAGTCATCTTCGATGACTTCGTTACTTCGTTAAAAACCAGGAGCAAAGGTAGTCCTCCCATCACCATGCACGTTCCCATACAGAGAAAACATACATTATAACTGCCGGTTACATCGCGCAGGTAACCTGGAATCATTTTCAAATCATCAATAACTAATCATTCAGAATAACCTTCTTTTTATTATACATCACACCAGGGTCAGCGCGAGGTGGACTTAAAACGTTTTCCGGAACCTGCCAGTGTGCTATAAATGGACCGTGAAAACTTTTCCATAGATCCTTCGAGGCCTTATGCACGGTATTATACGAGTACTTTCAAATTTATTAATATATCAAGTTTGAAATTTACGCATATTAGGCCTCACAGAATTTTTTAAACTCATCCCACAAATGTTCGCGCCGACCCTGCATCAAACAATACCTCGTCGACTGCTGTGCAGCATCGAACACCTTTGAGTGTATTAGTTTGATCATTAACATTCAACATATTTTAACAGTGAAACGATCATGATACCTGCTAAAGGCGGAATAGAAATTGCTCCGACACTCTGGAACATCCTAACAAGACCGTAAGTAGAGGATATTTTATCAGTTCCGTATTGGTCTGCGAGAAGGACGGGTACCAAGAGAAACCAACAGCCCAGACATAATCCGTACATGCCGACCGAACATGCCAGTACATAGAAAGAATGGGCCATTGGAATTGCCAATACTGCTACACCAGCACCCACGACACTATTAAATAAAAACAATAAACCATTTTTATTTCCTTTCAATGAACGAAATGTATCCGCACCTATTTTTCAGACACGAGAAATTGTTTGTGACGTTACCTTCCAATGTATCCTTTCCGACGATCGAACAACTGCAAGTCCGAAAGCCAGCCAAGTCCTAATCTCCCGCACAAATCCAGCGCGGCGGAAATCGCCACTAAGTACCCAGCTTCCGACTTCGTGTATCCAGCCGCGTGAACGTATGCTGGAAGATAGTACAACATGTACGGGCTTCCGGTCGACATGAGGCTGACGGAGAAGCACATCATGATGAACTGAGGATTTTTCAATAGCGACAGATCAATATATTGCGCTATCCTTTGCATGACAGTCTTCTTTTCCTCCGGCACTTGTGGTTCGTTCTGAGGAACTGGACATACGGCGGTGACCGATGATCTCAGGGATCTCAACGATGACCTGGCCTTGTATACGCACGTGGAGTCGGTCGACAGATCCTCGACGCTGTGGAGTATACTCGAGCTACGGATCTTCGAGATCGGTTTCATCCTAAGGCCCTCACCCATCACGTCCTTCTCTTCCTCGCTGTCAGTCAGCTCGACGGCCACTACACTGTTCTGATGAAATAATTCGTTCAACAGATTATGCTTGGTAGTCGAGTCGTTGGCAAATATTACGTCTAACTTCTGCTGTTTCGCCGTTTCTAATTCCTTTGCCGTGGTCTCGACCTTTTCCAATTTATCCACCACGATCGTGTCTTCCGGCGCGTAATTATTCTCCAGTGGTCGGTACAGGGTAGCGCTCACGCACACGTGGAGCATACAACCACCCAGTAGGAGAATGGTGCCGTGGAAGCCGAAATTCTTCACCAGGGTTTCGATCAGAAGCGGGAACACGAAGCTGCCCGCCGCTGTGCCAGACACGCAGATCCCGTTCGCCAGGGCACGATGCTTATCGAAGTACTGGGAGACGAGGATGATGCCTGGCGTCGTTGATAATCCACCGCCGATACCTGAAATTTCATTTACATAATCAAGAAATAACAATTGACGAAGGTTTAAACGTTAAAGAAATGAGAAATTATCATTTAATAAATACTAGGTTATTTCATAAACCTATGACTGTTAAGCAAATCATATATTTCTAAAATTCATAAGCTCATAAGTTCATAAGTACGTTAAGCCTATTCACTCAGAGTAGTAAGATAATAGAATAATATTATAATAACACAATAAAATAATAGAATAGTAAAATGATGAAACAATAAAATGTTAAACTATCAAGATAGTAGTACAGTGGAGTAATAAAATAATAGTATAGTAAGATAGGCATTGTGAGATATAATGGTAGAAGAATTGGTCGATATGCAGACAATTAAATATAATAGCAAATACTAATGCTTTAACCATTGTTAAATGATTAAGAAAGCTGCATTGTTTATGAAATGACCTAATAGTTCGTTTGTTCCTTTGTCTAAAGTTGCATCTTTATTTTAGCATTGTGCCTGCATCTACGTTACGTAACAAGTGACGGAAGTTAATAAGCTACAATACATGTGTACACTAGCGAGTATGGTTGGCTTCCCTAGGGAAAATGGAGATGCATAACGAGACCTCACCGCTCGTTCATTTCTTGGTAAATTTTCAGATTAACAAACTTTGAAATTTTGAGAAATTTCGGAGATTGAAAATGCGGGGATTTGAACATTTTTATGTAGACATATCGGATCCTTGAAAATGAAAAGCAAGTGGTCCTTCCTTCACAGTTTTTGTCCAAAGGAAGCCTACGTTGTATCGGAGTGTACATGTGCAGACTTTGAATGCATGATAAGATCATAAATCATTAATATTTGCGCACGCTACAGCTTTTCACGAACCTGTTAAAACTCCAAATGTAAAAAAGAGGTGTATCAAGCTCGTGGCAAAGTAACTTATAGTTAGTCCTAAAGCACAGAACAGTCCCCCGATGAAAACGACCGTTCGACAGCTGTATTTCTGGCACAGCATACTCGTCACTGGAGCTACGTGTGGAGCAACACATTAATTTCTCTTTTAATTACACCACTCGTATACGTAATTACTTCCGGCAATATAGTATCAATTATTCGTCGACAGAACAGAAACATCCAATCGACGATACTCATAGATACAATTACTCACCAAGCGCGAGACAAAGACAGGACAAAATAGCCGGTATCCAGGAAGCAACCGACGCCGATGAGTCCTTGAACGTTTCCATCACCTCAACGTACAACACCCCGTAAGATTTCACCAGACCAGCCACCCAGAATTGCACGAAAAACGCTCCGAAGACGATGACCCACCCGTAACCGCCGTCCAAAGGAACATAAGTGATGTTCCTCGGCTTCTTCGTCTCGGTTTTCTTCGGTTTCTTCTTCTTCGACACGGAGCTTTTGGTCGAGCGAAGTTCCCTAGACTTGGCTATCAACGGCCTAGCCGTGAGACTCGATATCGTCAATAGATTGTCGTTGTCCTCGTCCTCGATCGTTTCGGGACTCTGAAGGTGAGGTGGCACGATCGGCGTGGAGGTCGCCGTCGCCTGCACGGCCAAGGAA